GTTTGTGATGGGTGGAACACGTGTGCAGGACGGAGGCGGGAAGCGTGACGTTTTAGTGGCACCCAGAAAGTCGGCGACCAAGGGGGGAAGGCCTAAAGCCAGATGGTGGAACGCCGTGCGAGGAGACGTTTGGAGGGAGGGTGTCAAATTCCCAACAGCTGAGGATGGGGTCTAGCGAAGGGGAACGTCGGTTGCTTGCTTCAACTGTATTTGGCCACGATGACCTCTTGACCTTGACCCATGTTCTTTTAAATGGTGTCGTTTTTTATATATATAGTACTGGTAGGAACCTCCTGGTTACACCAGCCCATAGGGGATTATTGTGTCCGTCCGTCCGTCGTGCATCCAAAAATTAGAGGGGTGAGGCTGGGTGGGGAGGGTGGGGCTGGGGCTGGGTGGGGAGGGTGGGGAGGGGCTGGGTGGGGAGGGGCTGGGTGGGGCTGAGTGGGGGGTGGGAGGGGTGGGGCTGGGTGGGGAGGGGCTGGTCATCCCGTGGTGCCCTTATAAAACTCAACATTTAACCTACTCACGCCGGCTTGTGCCCGCCCTCACAGTCGGCCATATTTGCGGAATACACCACGCCTCCGTTGACCCTGGCCATTGACCGAGCAACCCAACGTTCCTACCAGCTCCCTCCGCAGGAATGTGTTTAAGTTCAGTGGACATTAACAACCTGACACAATCCTTGTATCTCAGATGTGCCGGTCCAATTGCTGTGATATGGGAACAACGCTGTAATATCAGGTGGTGGGGGAGCGGGGGAGTTGGAGGGGGCTTAACCCTCTCCACACCCCCATGCCCCTGTCACTGCAGAAGGCAGCCCTCCTAAATTCTTCAAATCAAGCCGTTAACCGTGCCGTGCTCCTCCCGTGACTTTCTGTACTTATACCTTTGAACAAAGTCGCACCAGAGGCTGATACAGGGATCAGCTTCCGCAACATTTATGAAAAATCCTAAATTCCAGTAGTTTTTCTTTTTCGTGGCGTTCGTAGGAAATCGTTTTTTTGTTTGCTTAGACAGCAGCATCGTCGTGAGAGCCCTGTTGGCGGTTGTTGGTTCATTGCCGCACTGGCGATCGTTGCAACGGTCAGTGAAGAATTTGTCACGGCTCCCCGCTGTGCACCCGTGGGTCATATGTTCAGGGCTCCAAAATGAAAACAACAACAATAAAAATAAATACTCTGGCTAAATTGTCCCCACATGCCGGCTAGGGGTGGATTTCTCCACCTTCAGGACACAGCTGTAGTTACAATTACTGCGTAGGTTCACCATTGGAACCTCCGAGCTCTCATACTCTGATGGTGCATTGTCTTTGAGTTGTGCGCCTTTTAGCGTCATCTGGTCCAACACCATGTGAGACTAGGCTCTAAGAAAAGCTGTCTCGGGTGTGGACCAATCAATTTCAAGGACAGTGCATACATTATCAAAGTTGTGTTTTTTGTTTGCATTCCGACCGCAGGTATTGTGGTCAATGCAAACATGACTCCTTATAAAAAAAGGTGTCAGTTTTGTTGCCAGATAAAAGTGTAATAAACCAATTATCATACTGCGTAGGTTATTTATTTTTTGCGGTTATGCTGTGCATCTTTCTGTGGCGTTTTTGGGTTGTGCCGCGTGTTGTCCGGCACGATGTCCGATGTTTCCCCAAGAAGTCCCCAGCAAGTGGAGCGAAACGTCGGAACATCGCGCCGAACAGCACGCGTTAACAACCCGAAAACTAGACCAAACCAACCGCCAACAAACTAATCTCATCAGATGTCAGAATGAAGTCTGATGAAATATACCGCAGTTGGTTTTTAGCCAAGCTTCTGTACAGGAACCTTGCTACACAGGCAGAGACAACATTGCGTCTGAGGCGGGAGAGAGCGTGAGAGTCCTTTCGCAATCGTGAACGTCTTGCAAGCAGTTGTGCACAGTGAAACTGAAAGCTTGCATTGGTTATTTCGGTGTCACGGTGTTGACGGATGGAGGAATTGTTCTAGTCATTTGGAAAATCCTCTAACATGTATGTATGTATGCGTGGGTATTCTCAAAGAACTCCAATTTCCTCCCACATGCCAAACGCTCACTTGTGGAAAGTGGCCACACATATAAATGCTTTTTCCCTCCCGAAAAATTAGTCTTGAGCCTCTTTTGAAACTTGTGGATGCAGTCCCATTAATGTTATGGCCCTTGTTCTGGTCACCTCTCTGTTTTATCACACACACACCGATAGTTAACGGGCATAAAGAGGTCACCGGTGGTCTTGGTGTGAGTCAGAGAGCATGGGCCTGCAGATGCGATCGCAAGTGTGTTTTCCCTGCCGCGTTGCGTTGAAAGAATTCTCATTGAAATGCTAAACACGCCACATGGTTGCAACAGACCATAGACAGCGGGCAGGAAACACAACTTGGAATCGAGAACTTATTAATGAATGGCATTCGGCAAAGTACGCAGAATTTGCTACGGGTCTACATTGTCTGCATACTGCGGTGCAGCAACGCCAATTGTTGTACAGTACCGTTCTCCAACATCTATGCTTTTCACCTTTACCAGCCAGTGCTGACCAGTGTAGTGAAGCGTGGAGAAACATCGCTGTGGCCTTGAAGAAGCCTTCATCCAGCAGTGGATTGACAAAGAAGGCTGTGCATGTACGTTTTAGGAAAAAACTCGCCGTTCCTTCTTGAACGCGAGAAATCTTAAGCGTGTGATCATGCACGTGTGACTGCTGCTCAGAATAGGTCATTGTCCCCTTCCAAATGTAAATGAGCATTGGGGCAGTGCTCAGCGCTATTGACATTCTTGAAGCGGTGATGAAAATTCAACACTCTTAAGACAGGGAAAAAAAAAACCCATCCATAGTCCAATCACTTGTTGACACCTCCTGGAAGTTATGATGGGCTGAGTTGACCCTCAACTGGGATTGTATCCCACTGTGCTGCCCAGAAAGTTAAAGGTGCAGCCCTGCAATTGCTTGTTCATGCCACTTCTGGCGTCAGGGACTCGACTAGGGAGCTCAGAGAGAACGTATTTTTTCTACACTTCCACGCTGGATAGATATCTAGAAAGAGGTGGGAGAGCCCACGTTTTACCCCACTACACTCGGCCCTGCCGATACAACTACCGCTGACTGTGGCGCCCCCATTTATGCTGCTGGGTGGACATGGTTGGGGAGGATTTATGGAACTCGCACCTTTGCAACTGCCGCATCGGGAGATGGAATTCAAGCGGAGACCTATGGAATTCCCAAGTCCCAGTGCTCTTCTAAACCATTACACACCACTGTGGCAGCATCGCTACCTTCCTGTGAATGAAGCCTCGTGCTTGAAGCCAGAGTGAGAATGAGAGTGGATGCTGTTGGGGGCTGGGGGGGGGGTAAGAGCTGCGATTTGCATATTGAACTAACGGCTGATTGTGTGATGCTTGGCCCAGTTTGGACACAGAGAGTGCCTATGTCCTAAGGTGGTAACACTGGTCATTGGTTTGCGGCTGAATAAGCACCCAGAGGACATTTCTATGGCGATTATTGCATCGTCAAATTTTTTTAAATCTACTTTTTGGTCATTTACATTTTAGTTTTCATACATTTGTCAAGAATGAATGACCGGATTAAAAAAAGTCAAGTTTGTGATTTTTTTTTTTACTTTTTCTTCATTTTGCTGAGCGATCCGTGATCTTGACTCGGGCATATTATTTATTAATCCAAAATTACTCTGGTTGATGGTGAATGTGTGAGGGGGCAGCTCTGCACTTGCTTGCTCTCATGCCACAGGTGGTGAAAGGGTCTGCACTATTGGGAGTTCTATGAGTATCTAAATTTGTCATGATAGTTTTCGATTTAAAGCTTTCGTGACTGCAGGGATTAATCTTCTTAGTTCTTTCGGTAAAGTTACGTAGAAGGGAAGTAATAAAATAATAAAAATAAAACATAATAAAATAATTTTCACGACGTTTCGGCCACAACGCAAACACCTGATGACGGCTGCTTGCGTTGTGGCCGAAAACGTCGTGAGAATTATTTTATTATGTTTTATTTTTATTATTTTATTACTTCCCTTCTACGTGACTTTACCGAAAGAACCAAGAAGTTGTCATGATATGTACTGAATAAATGGTTTGTGTCAGCCCTGTAGGGGGACTAACGCAGAATTACTTTTAAGATCCCTTCAAGCGACCTCTTATCTACACGCGGGATATTGCACCTCCTCACGTTGCCCTGCTGTAAAGATACTCATTACACAGCAGCCAATCCAAACGTTGATTTATTTTAATCTCAGAGCTGGAAATGTAAATGATGTACACCCTTGCTACATCATAGGAGAGTGGGTAAGTCTGTGCTACTGTTTATCCTTGCATCCAAGAGCGTGTGCAAAAGCGCAGACGTATAATAATTTTCATGAAGAGTATGAACGATTAGACAACAAATTAATTTGTTGAAGTCCAAATTATTATTTTTCTATGCTACGAACCCAGCGATCTGAATGCGATTTTCGCCCATGGCTAACACGAGTGGCAAAACGATATATAAACCTCGATTTAAAGCTTTCGTGACTGCAGGGATTCATCTTCTTGGTTTTTTCGGTAAAGTCACGTAGAATGGAAATAATAAAATAATTAAAATAAAACATAATTAAATAATTCTCACAACGTTTCGGCCACAACGCAAGCAGCTGTCCTGAGGTGGAGAGCAGGTCTGTCGAGAAGACAAGTCGTGAGAATTATTTTATTATGTTTTATTTATTTTATTTTATTATTTCCATTCTACGTGACTTTACCGAAAGAACCAAGAAGATTTATAAACCGGTACATGGCCTCTCCTCGATCGACTCAACCTCAAGTGAGCGCCTCGGTCTGAGTGCGTACACATCGGCACCGTGGAGACAGAGATGCGGCCGGGTGCGCGGTGCCGGCTGCGCCATCCCCTCGTGCGTCGTGTCCTTCCTTCACAGGTCGCTCGCAACAACACTCTCGTGTAGGCTACGTGGAGGGACCTTTGCGCGTGTGTCTGTGTGCCGTCGCAGGCCAGATCTGCTTGTTCTACTTCGTGTACTTCTCCTTCCTGGGTGCCCTCTTCGCCTTCACCATGTGGGCCTTGGTGATGACGCTGAGCTACGAGTTGCCCAAGTACCAGGACCGTGTCGCCAGCCCTGGTGAGAATTTTGTGCCCAATTTTGTGACGTCCAGCTGGAAGCTATGCGCTTTTAAATCTAAATTTAAAATTATTTTCTTAAAACAGTTTTTTTTGTGTTTAGTTCGTTGTCCTTCCCCCTGCAACTCGGTTCGCTAGCACGGTTCGCTACGTACAGCGCGAAAGAAGTTCCACATACATCCTAAGAAAAAGCAATAGTGGCATAATTCAGCATCATGCTCCCAAAACAAATATTGACACTTGCATCCATCGTAATGCAGTCAAGGTTGAACTTTTATCAAATTCATGAAAAAGTTAGCACCCCCACCTTCTTGACAAACACTCTGCAGTGCGCATATACAATGTTGGCCACAGAGCCAGTCGTGAAAATCCCGCATTGCTATGGTGGAACACAATATTTTGATTTAAAGCTTTCGTGACTGCAGGGATTCATATTCTTGATTCTTTCGGTAAAGTCACGTAGAAGGAAAAAAGTAAAGTAATATAAATATAAAACAATAAAAATTCTTCTTCTTGGTTCTTTCAGTAAAGTCACGTAGAAGGGAAATTAAAAAATTAAAAAATAAAACATCGTAAAATAATATAATATAATTATTACCCTTCTACGTGACTTTACCGAAAGAACCAAGTAGATGAATCCCTGCAGTCACGAAAGCTTTAAATCGAAATAAAAATTATCACGGCGTTTCGACTGTAACACAAGCAATCATCATCAGGTGTGAAATCCACAGCATGAAAATTTGTTTTATATTTATATTATTTTATTATTTCCCTTCTACGTGACTTTACCGAAAAAAAACAAGAATATGAACACAATATTGTTTAAGTCTTTTGATTTCTTTACTGATCCCAAAGGTGCCATGATGATGATGATGCGGCGGAGTCAACCCTGGTCAGGATAAAAATTATTCTGCGCTACTGACCAAAATATATGCAGATTGTTGATGTTTGTTTAAATGTACAACCTTGGTCAATCAACTGCTGGATGAGGGTTTTCTCATGCCGTGCGGATCATGGGGGGTTACCTGACCTCGACACGCTGATCAGTGTCGGTTGGCGATGACGGGGAGCGTAGCCGTGGGAGCATAGACGTATAATACAACAGTGGCTTTTGTTGGACTGCCCTCTGCTGTGCACCACATAGCACCCCGCAGCCTAACAACAACTCTCGCTGTTACGGTAGTCGCCCATCCAAGCACTCTCCACACGCTCAAGCCTGCTCAGTTTCCGAGATCTGACGAACTCAGACAGCGTTCCGGATGATTTTGTCACGGCGCGCTGTTCGGTTACAGTACCGAAAGAACCAAGTAGATGAATCCCTGCAGTCACGAAAGCTTTAAATCGAAATAAAAATTATCACGGCGTTTCGACTGTAACACAAGCAATCATCATCAGGTGTGAAATCCACAGCATGAAAATTTGTTTTATATTTATATTATTTTATTATTTCCCTTCTACGTGACTTTACCGAAAAAAACAAGAATATGAACACAATATTGTTTAAGTCTTTTGATTTCTTTACTGATCCCAAAGGTGCCATGATGATGATGATGCGGCGGAGTCAACCCTGGTCAGGATAAAAATTATTCTGCGCTACTGACCAAAATATATGCAGATTGTTGATGTTTGTTTAAATGTACAACCTTGGTCAATCAACTGCTGGATGAGGGTTTTCTCATGCCGTGCGGATCATGGGGGGTTACCTGACCTCGACACGCTGATCAGTGTCGGTTGGCGATGACGGGGAGCGTAGCCGTGGGAGCATAGACGTATAATACAACAGTGGCTTTTGTTGGACTGCCCTCTGCTGTGCACCACATAGCACCCCGCAGCCTAACAACAACTCTCGCTGTTACGGTAGTCGCCCATCCAAGCACTCTCCACACGCTCAAGCCTGCTCAGCTTTCCGAGATCTGACGAACTCAGACAGCGTTCCGGATGATTTTGTCACAGGCGCGCTGTTCGGTTACAGTACGTTAATGGTGGTTTTCTGAATGATCGTATTAAACGGGGCGCACTTCACTCATGCACGGGGTACGAGCGCACGAAAGCGCTTTCACGCTGCGGGGAGCCATGGCGTGCCTTCTCATTGAGAGGGCCTAGACACGGAGGGGATCGCCTGTGAAAGGGAACACACAAATAAATCAGGGCTTGGCTTGGCATTGAGACCCAGCGGAGTCGTGCCTTTAACGGGGGTGGGGGGGCACGGGGGACTGCCTCTCCCCACGCTCTTCACTAAGAACCGCGGCGCGGTGCGGCCAGTTTCCAAAGCGAAACAACAAAAAAAAGCGGCGCCCTTCTGTTGAATAATGCATGCGGCACCGTTATTTCAACCCATTGCTTTTTTTTTTCGTTGAATTGACGAGCCCTTTCAAATGCAGGGGGAGGGTTAATTTATCAATTACATTTTTCGTTCGTTTCAGAAATCCTCACATAACCGCGAGTGTTTTGTGTTTGAAACAGTAGCACCGTTGTTTAGTAAATCGACCACAATTGAACAGAATATTATTCGCAAGCTGGCAAAAATCACCGCACAGCCATGAAATTACGTAACGCGTGTTTGTCCTCGGAAGTATTGAATTAGCGGTGCGGAAGTCGACGAGCGGCTGTCGGGGCAAAAAAAGGCATTTGCACTTTTTCAAATTGTCCCACGTTACGTTGGTTTGTGCCTCTAAGTTCTTGGCAACGTTCCGGTTAATTTGGACATTTTCAATAGATTGGGTCCCGAACAGCGACACAACTTCACACAAAAGTTTAGTTCACTTTGAACCATCTTCACGAGCGTTATTGTGTGTGTCCGCCCCCCCCCTTCCCCTTTTATTACGAACAGACGGACAGACCAAATGGATAAAGTCCTTCAGCCTTTGTTAAACATTGTTAATAACGGGCAATGAGATAAGAATGATTTCTCAACTGAAAGTTAAAATATGAAATCCAAATGCATCGTGGTTTTTTAGCAATCCTGCAGAAAGGAACCGGAAGTAGTGTTGAGCCGATGGAAGAGCCAAGCGAGCGGTGAGGAATCACAGCGCTCGCCGCTCAGCCAGCTTGCTAATGAATCGGTAGTTTTCCTCCGCACACTGTCGGCACGTTCTTACCATCTTAATCACCGTTCTCTGCGCGGCTCACCGACAAAACCTAACTTTTATTTTTTCTACTTAATCGCACATTCAGAATATAACCCGACACGGCCAATTAGCAAAAAAAAGTGTCACGTTGACAAAAGACAAATAGTTCACTACTTTAGCCCACCGGGCAATTCGCGAATTGCCCGATGATGCTGGATGTAATTACCAGCGAAACGTCGTACTCAAAAATCGTAAATGTTGTGGATTCACTCTTCAACACACCGGTGGGCTAAAGTAGTGAACTATTTTGTCTCTTGTCAACGTGACACTTTTTTTGCTGATTGGCCATGTCGGGTGGTGGAGGGTTACGACACATTTATAAATAACGCGATCTAACCCAATAACGTTTATCATGAATAATATCGGTCGCGAAAGCCTGCTACGTGTTAAACTGAGAATATAACCCCTTTCCGGCGGTCGCTCGCTTGTACCACGCTTTCTGGGGGCCTGGTGCTACATTCCGTCATGTGGCCCCTACCCAGGAGTTCCCATTTCTTTAGATTGAAAGGGAGGTCTGGTGACTTCCTATCGGGAGCTGTCAAGTTGCACTGTAGTGGTCCCCAGCCTCGACTGCCGAAAACATGGACATTAACAAAGAAAACGGACAATAGCTGAGAAGCGTGCAAAGACGCGTGGATTTTGGGACAATGCTGAGAGACAGGAAACGGCACTCATGGATTCTTCTTGATATGCAAATTCATTTGTCAAGGCGCTCTTCCCCCTCCAACCCAGCTTAAATAGACGCTCCAAGCCAGGGGTGTTTCATTCAGACTCTGTCTTCTCGACAGATCTGTTCTCCACCTGAGGACGGCTGCTTGCGTTGTGGCCGAAACGTCGTGAGAATTATTTTACTATGTTTTATTTTTATTATTTATTATTTCCTTTCCACATGACTTTACCGAAAGAACCAAGAAGATTCGAGAGCAAGCACAAGTTGGAGTCCTACATTTTGACTGTTCATGGAAATAAAGTGGCCATGGGGGCTGCTTCAGTCCTCCAACGTGACCATTCTGAGCCCACGGCGTTCTTTCCGTATTTCTTGTTGGAGATAATTACAGCCACGCGCTCGATTACCTCTGCTCGTTTCTGCAGGTCTGATGATCCGGCCCAGGGCTCCGCTGTTCGAAATTAACTTCATGAGCAACTCTCTGGAGTCGTACGAGCCCTACGTGAACTCCATCAACGATCTCCTGAGCAGTGAGTGCTTTGGCGGGAACGAGCGCCCTCCGCGTGCGCCGCGGGAGTCTCATTCATCCACATTCATAATCAACGTAATTGGTCCTGTCTGTCTGTCTGTCTCTCTGTCTGTCTGTCTCTCTGTCTGTCTGTCTGTGGGAGTCTCATTCATCCACATTTATAATAAACGTAACTGGTCTGTCTGTCACTTCTTGAGTTGTTGCTCTAGAGACTGGGAGATCGTTGGTCGACGTGCGGTATCCGGATTGACGGCATTCGTTGTGAATTCTCACTGAACAGGGTGGGCCACGAGGGGGCTGCCACCTTCCACTCTGGTGGTCTGTCTGTGAGGCTCTGTGTCAGTCACAGAACTCACTTGGGAAATCTTTGTCCTGTAGAGTTGAGTCGGGACTCATTCTGACTGGAACTAACCAGTGACCAATGGTATCGCTGATGAACTTACGTACAGCTTGTGATCCTCGGCTTAAAAACTCACCAGACATTTTCACCATCCTAATGTCGTGGATTTGTATTACAAAACATTAAGTAATAATAGATCAAGCTCGAATCATAGATACGGCTATGCACAATGTCGTCCCGAGGTGTTTTATGTATTATGTTGAACTTATTTCGCACGGTACATAGCCAACCGTGCTAATTGGAGCTGTTCATTAACTGTAAAACTCTCACTTCATTTAGGAAATGAAAACATCAAAAAGTTGTGGGGAGCAAGGGATCCAAATGCCCAAAACGCCAAGTGACCAGCAGCAAACAGCACGATCAAAGTTTGCAATAGATAAGAGTTCACAGGTTTTTTTTTTTTAACGAGCAAGATTTATAAACTTGGGACAATGGGAGGGAATTCCAAATTGTAGAGGTGCGAGGGAAGAAGCAGAAAGTGAGGTGTTGTGGCCTGCAGTGCAGTGAGTCGGTGGGTGAATCGGTGAGCGTGTGGTTGTGATCCAGTGTAGTCTAAACAGACTGTTGGGTCAAGTGCTGTTAGTGAGCACCTATGAAGACCGGCACGGCAGACGAGGGGGTAGATGGCCAATACCACGCACGGCCGCCTTTGTCTCCCCAGTAGTGATGTTCACACACCAGGTACTCATTTTGAGGCTGAGTCGACCTAGAGAAGGCCCAGGACCGGTTCACATAATCGTCATTGGTGGCCGTGAGACGGGAATTGAACTCGCTCGCCGGGTTCGGAGGTCAGCGCGCTAACCGCTACAACTACTGCACACGCGCACACGCGCGCGCGTACCCATTTGCCCAGCTGCCTTGCGAATGCCCTCCCGATGCGTGCACCCCGCCCCCGCCCCTCCCCAGGCTACCCAAACACCTCCGAAAACTTCTGCGACGCGGGGCTGTACCGCGACGAGCAGGCCGGCGCCGGGCAGCCGGGCCGCGTGCCCCTCATGTGCCCGTTCTCCCGCAAAGACCTGGGGCTCTGCTCCGGCCTCGAAGACCCCATGTACGGCTTCACGAGTGGCACGCCTTGCGTGCTGCTCAAGATGAACCGGGTACAGGGCACAGCGCCCGCACGGCGCCCCCACACCCCTGTGACCCTGAGCCCCTGCGCGTCGTGCGACCACCGCCGTTGCATGCGCAATGCTCTCAGCGTTAGGTCTTAGGCCCAGTGGTTGTCAACCTTTTTTGGCTACTTGACCCCCTTGTTGAAATTTGTTTCAAGCTATGTTACCCCCCCCACTGCCCCCACCATGCCTTGCCCGACCCAGTGCGGTTCTTTGGTTACCGTATGGATTTGCGATGTTATCGTAGTTATTTTAAGTTGGCAGATTCACACGTGATTATTCGCCAACGACTCTCACGTGTGGTAGAATTTCACACCCTTTTATAAATCAGCTCACGTACCCCCGGGGGGGGGAGGGGGGTGGGAGTCCGCTTACCTCCAGTTGAAAAACCATTGGCCTAGACCACTAACTCAAGATATTTGATGACACCCACAATGCCGTGCAGCTCACGGGCAGCAGGAACGTACCACTTCCTGTACATTTGCGAGCCACCTTTGGACGCGCCGTACGTTTACCGCCAATGTTTCTCTTCTGCAGATAATCGGTTTCAAGCCGGGAAACCACACGAATCCGGTGAAAGTCACCTGCGACGGGAAGGTAAAACTCACGCCACGGAACTTGTCACCGCTGGAGAAATCGCTCTGACCCGGTCTCCCTGAGTGCACCTGACCTCGCCAGGCCTCAGAAGCTACGCCGCGGTTGAGCCTGGTTAGCGCTCGGATGGCGGGCCGCCTCGGAAAATCAGCTGTTGTAGGTTTTGGGCTGTGAATTGGCCAGGGGACAACGGGAGTTTGTAAATTAATTGTACAATACGTGTTAAACTGTACAATATGTGTGGAGCTTTGAGTGTTGCTCCCATCGAATACAGTGGGGATTTCTCCGCATTCACCAGATTCCTGCCACACGCCAAACACTCGTTAGCAAAGTAGGCCAAACTTCTAGATTTGAAGTTTTCGTGACTGCAAGGATCCATACGTTTTGTTTTTTTCGGTAAAGTCACGTAGGTAAAAAAATAAAATTAATTAAAATGAAAACAACTAAATTAAATCACTTTTCATTTTAATTTATTTTATTTTTTACCTACGTGACTTTACCGAACAAACCAAAAAGTTTCGGCCAAACTTCCCAATTGTGAGGGACTCTCCTGGAGACTCGGTCCAGCTCTTACTGGGTAAGTAAACCGCTGAGCGCGGAGCACTGTGAGTCTGGCTATCGTCGGCGGCCAGTGGTGAGTGCTTTCTGAAGCAGCCCTCGGTCCAGCCCATCACAAGCCCGTAACTGCCCGGAGTGGTAAAGTATGGACCCTACTACCCCCTCGACCCAACGTGGCATAACATTCATCCCATCAATCATCCCATCAGTGGGGGTTTTATGAAGGTGCTGTAAATAAACTCATTGTGAATAATATTTCCTTAGAAAAATATCTAGAAATATTGATATGTGTATCGAATAATGTAAGTTGTGGTTGTAATTTTTTTTCTTCTTATTTTATTGTTGTTGTTGCGCTAATTTACACATCAAGAATCTGCCCATCATCATCACCAAAATTGTCATTCGCATTATAATCATCATCATCATCACAATTGTCACGATCGTCGCAGTCGTTATCATTGCATCAAACGACCTACACCGTCAATATCATCATCACCATCGTTACTAATCACATCACCATTCACATCGTCATCATTGACATCACCATCACCGCTAACATTAACAGCATCATCACCCAAGCCAGTGGTGTGAGTGTCACGTTTGTGGTGGTTGTCTCGGTGAGTGCATTAAGGGGAGCGGTGATGTAGCGGTTAGCGCGCTGCGCTACAAACCCGGACACCCGAGTTCGATTCCCGCTAACGGCCAACCCCAGTAACGATTATTTGAACTGGTCCTGAGCCTCCCCTAGGTGGACTCAGCCTCAAATGAGTACCTAGTGCGGTGTGTAAATATCGCCACTAGTAAGACAAAGGCGGCCGGGCGTGGTATTAGCCTGCCACCCCTTCGTGTGCCATGCCAGCCTTCGTAAGTGCTCGCTAACAGCACTTGCCCCAAAAGTCTGTTAAAGGCTGTACTGGGGATCTTTGTTTTTTTCGCATCGAGATGAGGTGAGCGGTGAGTGCACAAGTGAGTGTTGTGAGTAGTGGCAGCTAGCGGTGAGTATTGGTGAGGGGTTTGCGAGCCTTTATTCTTGTTTTTCAATCTCTACTGCTCCGATGTTACAGAAAGAAGAACAGCAGCATCTTTTGGGAGACATCGAGTTCTTCCCAAACGACATTTTCGACCCCATGTACTTCCCGTACTACGGCAAAGTCCTCGACGTGAGTACGCAGCGGCCGCTTGGAGTGCGACCAAATCACCTAGAGCGCCGTGCCATATCTTGTCAAGGCTTCACAAGCTGAGCCTGAACAGTGCCTGGATGTCGCGTATGCATGTTGAACTTGTCTTGCACCGTACGTAGCCAACCGTGCTAATCGGAGGTGCGGGGAAGGACAACAAACTATGGGTCTCTGTGTGAGTCTGTGTGTGTCTGTGTCTGAGTTTATGGGCCTCTGTGTGAGTCTATGGGTCTCTGTGTGAGTCTGTGTGTGTCTGTGTCTGAGTTTATGGGCCTCTGTGTGAGTCTATGGGTCTGTGTCTGAGTCTAAGGGTCTCTGTGTGAGTCTATGGGTCTCTGTGTGAGTCTATCGGTCTCTGTGTGAGTCTATGGTTCTCTGTGTGAGTCTATGGGTCTCTGTGTGAGTCTATGGGTCTCTGTGTGAGTCTAAGGGTCTCTGTGTGAGTCTAAGGGTCTCTGTGTGAGTCTAAGGGTCTCTGTGTGAGTCTATGGGTCTCTGTGTGAGTCTATGGGTCTCTGTGTGAGTCTATGGGTCTCTGTGTGAGTCTATGGGTCTCTGTGTGAGTCTGTGTGTGTCTGTGTCTGAGTTTATGGGCCTCTGTGTGAGTCTAAGGGTCTCTGTGTGAGTCTATGGGTCTCTGTGTGAGTCTATGGGTCTGTGTCTGAGTCTATGGGTCTGTGTCTGAGTCTAAGGGTCTCTGTGTGAGTCTATGGGTCTCTGTGTGAGTCTATGGGTCTCTGTGTGAGTCTAAGGGTCTCTGTGTGAGTCTATGGGTCTCTGTGTGAGTCTATGGGTCTCTGTGTGAGTCTATGGGTCTCTGTGTGAGTCTATGGGTCTCTGTGTGAGTCTGTGTGTGTCTGTGTCTGAGTTTATGGGCCTCTGTGTGAGTCTAAGGGTCTCTGTGTAAGTCTATGGGTCTGTGTCTGAGTCTAAGGGTCTCTGTGTGAGTCTGTGTGTATCTGTGTCTGAGTCTAAGGGTCTCTGTGTGAGTCTATGGGTCTCTGTGTGAGTCTAAGGGTCTCTGTGTGAGTCTGTGTGTATCTGTGTCTGAGTCTAAGGGTCTCTGTGTGAGTCTGTGTGTATCTGTGTCTGAGTCTAAGGGTCTCTGTGTGAGTCTATGGGTCTCTGTGTGAGTCTATGGGTCTCTGTGTTAGTCTGTGGGTCTCTGTGTGAGTCTATGGGTCTGTGTCTGAGTCTAAGGGTCTCTGTGTGAGTCTATGGGTCTCTGTGTGAGTCTGTGTGTGTCTATGTCTGAGTTTATGGGTCTCTGTGTGAGTCTATGGGTCTCTGTGTGAGTCTGTGTGTGTCTATGTCTGAGTTTATGGGTCTCTGTGTGAGTCTGTGTGTATCTGTGTCTGAGTCTATGTCCGCGGGCCGTGGTGTGCGGTGTGTCAGTTCAAGAGCCCCGGTTGTGTTCCCGTTGTGCGTGCAGGGCACGTACACGCAGCCGCTGGTGGCCGCGCGCTTCCTGAACCTCACACACGACACCCCCGTGTCCATCGAGTGCCGCCTGGAGGGCAACGGCATCGTCAACAAGCACGAGCGCGACCGCTTCCTGGGCCGCATTGCCTTCACGTTCACCGTCAGCTCATAGCGCCCACCACCCTCCCTCCTCATGCTGCTCTCCCCCCCCCCCCGCTCACCTCGCTCTGCCACCGTCACATTCTCGCTCTCCCTCCTCCCGGCCCGCCTGTCCCATCGGCCCGCCCGCCCACCCGCCAGTCGACTTAGCCGCTACCGCACCTTCTTTAGCGGCCGGTACGCGCGCACTTGAGATTTCTCTGAGCGACGGGGCGCGACTGGATGCCGACCGTCATTCAAAATCGTCGTCCTCCACCCACCCCCACTTCTAATTGGCGATTTGCCCTGACCCGCAACCTGAAACGCCTCGCCGAAACCTAACAGCCATGGTCCACTGGAGGCACGTTTATGGCGCCTGTCCCCGGCAGCGTTTCCCATAGTCGTGTGATCTATTTGCCAAACATGCGAACAAACGGAGCTCTTCCTAGCGGGCAACTGGGATGGAAACTTCCACTTGAGATCCCAGATAGAGGTCACGTGACTGCCTTGACGCAGGGCTCTATTCTCTTGAGGCACGGGCAGCTTCAAGCCAAGGCGTGAGTGGCATCTGGGGAGGAGAGAGAGAGAGAGGGGGGGAAGTCTTCTGCTTGATTGCTTTTGTGGTATCGACCGAGTGGCTGGCAACAATGGACTGCATCAAGGAATGAGTCGCTCCCTCCATTCTGCTGCCCACCAAGTTGCCATCGTCTCCCCTGGTTAATGCGATGATTGCCGGCAACGATTGCCCGAAACTAACTCTGGAGTGGATCATGGCCTTTATGAAAGCATTTGAGGGCACGGTTTGGTATTTTGACGTGCGGTACATAGAAATAAAACTTAACATTTTTTTAGTATATAACTAAACCGTCGAAACACAATATACGCACATTTGCATTTTAAAAATGTATAATCATTTCATTTTTATTGAGCAATTACATTTTATGACGTCGTATCTGAGCCAACCGCAACTGTACACCCGAATATAGCTTCCCATCGTCATCAAACACTGCCTTATGACTGCACCTCACATTAGCACGGTTGACTATGTACGGTGTGAAAGAAGTTAAACACACATACGCAGTCTATGGCAGTTGAGCAGAAGGGATTAGCGTTAATTCTCTGCTTAAATTTTCCGCAGTATATTTGGCAATACCATCGACAGCCAATTAGTAAGCTTATTTTACGTAAACAAAACATGCCAATTAGTTACTAGCTCACCACACCGGTGTGTTGTAGAGTAAATCCAAAATTCGCCCTCATTCATCCCACCAGGGTCGCAAACGGCTACCCGTACCCAGCCGGGTACGGGTAGCCGTTCCCTACCCGTACCCGTACCCTACCCGAAATGAGTGACAAACGGCTACTCACCAGTGACCGTAGCCGGGTATCGGGTAGGGTACGGGTATCGGGTACCCGGTTGCGACCTCTGGTAGCCGACGAGTGCGGGCTAAGATGCTCGTGGCGTTTTATCGATAAAAGCGTCGCTCTGCGCGGCCGTTTCGAATGGGGGCAGCCCCCCGTCGCGTAGCTGGAGGCCGTGCGAAATTAAATCACGGGGACCGATGTTTGCCCCCCCCCCCCTCCACCTCTCGAGGAAGCGGCAATTGTGCCCAGAGAGATTTTCCACCCTCGGTGTTGGCAGGTCGGGTTGGGCCGATTGTGCTGCTGCTGCTGCGTTTCTATCGGCTGGTCCTTGTCATCTCAGAAACCTGTTGCTTGATCTCGCGCTTTCAAAACTCATTTCCTGCGAACTGCTTTCTTTTTGTTCATGTTGTCCTTCCCCCGCACCTCCCGATTAGCACGCTTGGCTACGTGCGGTGCGAACGAAGTCCAACGTGCACAAGCACAAACCCCACCCTTATGTGCCTGGCGCTCGCATATTTAAAGTCCCGTCTGTGTGACGCGGTGCGTAACCCTGTTTAGCCCCGTCTGTAATACGTACCTAAACTGTATATCAGTATGTTGCTGTCAAGTACCATCGGCTGCATTTACACTAGGGCATCGGCGCTTACCACTTCAGTTTCCAGTCGAAACGGAAGCGGTCAGCGCGAACTGCGTCTCGTTTTTACACTTCTCGAGCAAAGCCAGCGTCCCCCCCCCCCCACCACCCCCGCCCTCGTGCGCCAACCTCGTCTTGAAGAAACGAGAGACGCGTACGACGATTGTCACAGGCGGAACTCGCCGTCGGGATCGTGCGCCAGCCGTTCCTCCAGGCGATGGGGGTTTTGTGGTGGGGGGCATTGCCAGAGGGATGGGGTCAGGGGAACGGTCACGCTCACTCGTGAACCGGCGGCTATGGATTCCGAAATGCCATGATGCACTCGGGCAATTTTTGGGAAATTGTCCCTGGCGGTTGTCACCGACGAGGAGGGTTTCCACCGCTTGAGGTGATATGAAATGGCGTAACAACCTCGATGTGCACACGTAATGTTGCAGATTTCAACTTGCTGCACGAAAGGAGAGCACTTAAGTGCAACAAACCGCTTGAGTTGATATTAAATGGCGTAACAACCTCGATGTGCACACGTAATGTTGCAGATTTCAACTTGCTGCACGAAAGGAGAGCACTTAAGTGCAACAAACTGGGACATGTTGTTGGAAGATAATCGGACTGTAAAAATCGATTTGCCAGGGCTTTTAGTGACCTGGTTAGGACTGACAGATGTCACGGGACAGCAGCTACCTCAACTAGAGGACGATCCTGAGAAAACCAGGACAGGTGGCAAGCCAATTTGAAACACATTTCCGCTTAGCAACTATGTTTTTCTTATGGCCGCAACAATCGTGTTTCGTGTCGAGGGGTGGCGAGCGAGCCAGCGGACGGATTTAGGAGTAGCCTCGTTAATATCTAAAATTCTGCCGGCAGACGATGGAAGCGGCCAGTCGCGTTACTGTGTGACACGTGGTTTGAGATTGATGACCGCGGTCATACTCTGGGCCATTCTTAACTTTTCCATCGGCAGAGGAAACGCGACGGTCTTCCTACACCGCAGCTGGTATTGATTACCATTCAATCAATACCAGACCATGGCTAACTTGGTCTGGTATTGTTTGACAGAAGCTCCGTCCAGCCAGCGAAAACAGAATTTGTGGAAGAGTGTGCATTATGATTGACAACCGTCGGTCTACACCCGCAGGGGTGGGGAACCTTTTTTCTGCCAAGGGCCATTTGGATATTTATAACATCATTCGCGGGCCATACAGAATTGTCAACTTAAAAATTTGACCGTTATATTTGGTTTTAATCAACTCGCCCCTAATGCGATGGCTGGAACTGCTTCTCTTTGGCGAGGCGTGTGATGTTAGCTGGCTATTGATGATGTTGCTACTCGCAACTGCTTTTCCAGGTTTGCTCCTAGATTTATTGAATTTCGAGTCCCGCCTGCGGTTGCCTTGGCAGGGCCACGCCAAATGATTTCGCGGGCCTCATACGGCCCGCGGGCCGGACGTTCCCCACCCCTGGTCTAGAGTCACAAGCCTCGGGGTTAGTGGTGTGACCTCTGCCTACGATCTGATTGGAAGTTGCCAGTCACCCACGAGGGCGGTGGGGAGGGCAGCGATTGGTGTGGCGACTATGACGATAGCAGCCGGCGTCTGCCATCGATTTGGTCAAGTGCATCATGGGCTTAACAGAATCTACGAAGAAAAGAATTTGTTCAGAACTGAATGTTAGTTTAGTTCTAACTACTGTGTTCGGAATAAACTCCCTAGTGTAAACACAGCTGTAGTGTGGATTTTTAAATTTAATATATTACTCCAGTGGGTTTTAAAAAACTGCATCAATGTATCAATGTCCCCTGCGTTAAATCCAAACGGAATCTCATTGTTGGACAGACCCAACAAATGTCACGTTTAACATCTAAACACTGTCATGTATTTGTGTTGTTGTTGTTTAAAGGTTGGGTTTGTGAGGATGCGCTTATGTTCAGTCCAAACACCTTCAGCGACTTGGCATGAATGTGAACTTTTTAGTCGGGGACAGGTTGGTGAATGTGGATTTGACAGCCAGTACAGTATCGTAAAACACACGAGCATTTGAATGCACTGCTATTAAGTTACCGTCATATTCAGAGTTATCAAACTTGGCGTGCACGCCGCACTGCACGTATATTTTAAGCCGTAGCGACTCCAGTCTTTAATGTCGTCAGATCCCCAAAATCCAAGGTGGAGTTGAATGGCGAGCGAGCGCATGAGTAAATGTCAAATTCTCCAAGGGGGCAACGGTAGCTTCGAAAACCTGTGCATGAAGTGGAACTCACTGAGCCCAGCTTGCGTTCAGCTACCCGGCCCACAATGATCAAGGGTCATAGTGCTGTAAGAAGTAAACAATATGTTAATATCACTTTTTTTTTAATCTTTAAAACTATTTTGTATTTAACCAGGTAAGACCCACTGAGCTGTTGAGCACTTTTTCAGAAGCGAACCAGCCACGAATTAAAGTTCAACGAAGTGGCTTATCATCACGCTGGAAATGTATAGCAGCCAAATACTCTAAATGCGTGATGTTCATTCGAAATGTGGAGGGGAAAAACCGGAGCACCCGGAGAAAAATCCACGCCACCACAGGGAGAGAGATAAACACGCAAACTATAAATATACAGCAGCAGGCGTCAGGGTCGAGGAACGAACCTACAACCTCCTGTATACCAGGCGAGATAGTTAACATCTCCTAGCCACTGCAGCGCCCCAATACTGCAGTGCTGCCTGCCGCGTGGTCAGCAAAATGCTCCGTGTCATCTTGCTGGTTAGGAAATTAATTAAAGCAAAGTGCCAGGACGAAATATGCATCAATTACTTTAGAAGTAATTGGTTGTTTTCATTCACGTTTAGTTTGTTTAAGCAGCAGGGTGATAACTCTAGAGACCGGAATAGTTTTATTTGCAAGAATGACCTGGAGAAGATAATTTGGGCATCAAAGATGTTGACATCTGCATACATCTCGATAATGTATTTTTTTAAACACTGTATCCACCACACCTTGTACTTGATTGAGGGCTTTTTTGGAATGAAATATCAGCTCGCCAGTATATTGTAGTCATTGATTTTATATATGAAACCTCACAGATGTGCCCACGACACAAATATAAAAAGTTGCTTGCATCAATGAGCTGCGGGTAGCTGCAGGTGTCAACACGTGTGTTAACACGTGTGTCAACACGTGTGCGTCGTATTCGATAACTCTGAAGGACAAATGGTTGGTTAACAGCTTATGTATATGACTGTCATTTTATTTTTGCGTGACCTCAGTGGCAATGTGGTGATGTTCGTCAGTTAAATTAGCCGGTGGACAGGTGAGAATCTGGTTTGGGAAGACGTGTACGATCTCTATTTTCATTCTTACCAATTACAGTGACACTCCAGTCATCTGTCTATCTGTTACTTGGATCTCCCTGCTCGATCCAAACATCGATTGGCACAAAATCAAATGATCCACGCGACAATCCCTCCAAGTTGAGCCATGGCACGGATACGAAGGTCCGGATGTGATGGAAAATTCATCCTAATATCATCCACCTCTAGGACCGTCCGCACCCCCCCAATCCAATCCGATAATAGGATTTCAACTTTTAAAAACAATCCCAGTTCTATTGACATCCGTGCAGTTGCCTCCAGGTACATGCAAGAGGCACGCCTATGGAAAGTTCAAGAATGATATTGCAGGGAAATTGCCTAGCAAGTATCCGTCTCTAATCTAAAACTCGTTGCACACATTGAAGCGGGATTTAATTGTCCAGTGGGGCTCCCAAGATCTGAACCCGGGACCTGTGGGTTTGTTTTACATGCGACAACAGTAATTGAAGGCGATAGTGGAGTACTCCTGGAGGTTTGAACACTGCGTGGAGCGAGCACCAAACAGACGTCAGCGTCTCTCCCAAGTCGGATTCAAGTCTGGCAAAAATGGTCAAATATGGTGTCAAAAATGGCCAAACTACTTTGCTTTTTTTTAAACATTATTAAAACCCCACGGCATTGAAACGTCGTTTTACCTTGTTTTTATTTTTTTGTTGTTTAGAAATTGTTAGTATGTGACGGTCCTATCATGGGCCTAATTTGACGAAGGGGAGAGGAAAGTAAACCGTAAACGGTTGTTTGTATTAACACTTAAAAAAAGTCCCGAAATTTTGGATTAAGTGACGCAAATAATGTTTAACAAAGTGGGAGTGGGAAATAAATAAACTGTGGGTGTTCTCATCCATCTGCGTGATGTGACGCTGCGTTTGTGATTTTTTTTCCCCGTTTGTCTTCTATAAAGAACTAAACTTTTTATTTTATTTTACCAGGTAAGGCCAACTGAGCTACATAAAATAGCTCCTTTTCCGAAGCAAGCTGCCTATCGCAAATTCTATCTCGACAGAGTTGCTTATCGCGTGGACATTTATAGCGGCAGCCAAATGCCCTAAACGCGTGATGTCGATTCTAAATATGGAGAGGGAAAAACCGGAGGATCAGGAGAAAAATCCACGCGACCACGGGGAGAGAGACACGCAAACTCCAAACATACAGCAGCAGGCGCCTCGGGGTCGGGATCGAAACCGACAAACCTTCTGTACACCAGGCGAGGTAGTTAACATCTACGCCTTTCAAGTTGTGGTCAATGAACCCTTCACACTGCGAATCGCACGAGATTCACGATCCGAATCGCAGCGGCACACTGGGACAGCGTCACGAGAACTCGGTCGACGAGATTGGCATCGCTAAAGTCGAGCGTCTGACTGGAGCACTTCGCGTTTCATTGGACTGGCTAGCGGTCGCGAGGTTTTGATTGCCGTTGGGGCATTTAAATAAGTATAACCCGTAAAAACTAAGTTTTTCACTATAAATCCTTTATATGCGTGGCGGCTAGAGTCATCTCGTCCTCTGGCTTGAGATGGCTGCCACCTATGGGTCAGATGATTGCATTGCCAGTATTAAGCAATTGGTAATTAAATATATTTTTGTCCTAAAAAGTGTAAAATTTAGGAATTTTTTTCCACGAACATTGTCACGCACGAGTCTGTGTGGAAAATGTCAGCTCGATTGGATCACGGGAAGTGGGTTAAAAAACGACCGAAAGATTTGCACGGTCCTAAGCAAGCACGCAAGCAAGCGAACTTAATATAAAGGATTTAAAAAAGGAGCTTCCTGGAAGTGTTTCAAGGTCGTAAGCACAAACCGAGAGCGTTATGGTCAGCGTTAGGGCTGGGGCCAGTGTCGGCTTTTGGGGGAGCGTTGGTCCAGGGTTTACGGCTATTGTTCGGGCTGTTGTTAGTACGGATATGCTAGAGCAGTGCTTCTTAAAGCTTTACTTACTGCAGCCTTGCACCCTTTGTTTCTCAATTGTAAATAATTTTAAAATGTTAATGAACACGTAAGTTGGATGATATAATGTAAATTTCGATTTAAAGCTTTCGTGACTGCAGGGATTCATCTTCTTGGTTCTTTCGGTAAAGTCACGTAGAAGGGAAATAATAAAATAATAAAAATAAACAACATAATACAAATGAAAATAAATAAATTTTATTATGTTGTGAGAATTTTATTTTATTATGTTTTATTTTTCGTATTTTATTATTTCCCTTCTACGTGACTTTACCGAAAGAACCAAGAAGATGAAATAATGTAGTTGTACTGACGTGCTCGTGCTTACTTTGTGTTCGATAATTTACCTTCTAAAAATAAAACTGGAATATCTCGCACCCCCAGGGGGTGCGTGCACTCCAGGTTAAGAGCCACCGTGCAAGACCATCCAGTAGATTGCGTTGGGTAAGTTTCGATTTAAAGCTTTCGTGACTGCAGGGATTCATCTTCTTGGTTCTTTCGGTAAAGTCACGTAGAATGGAAATAATAAAAGAAATAACCAAAAATCTTTTATTTTTATTTTATTTCCATTTTACGTGACTTTACTGAAAGAACCAAGAAGATGCGTTGGGTAAGTTTAGGAGCTATACTCGGGTGCAACGGAGCGCACAATTAGATCCCATAAATGCCACCCGCAGATTGTTATGCGCGAACGCCGCTCGTTTCTGCAGACTAACAAAAGTTGTTCGAGTGACCAGGAGATTCACCAAACTTCTTTACACGCGGCACCGACAGTTTAACCGTGAATTCAAATCGAGTGTCTGAGGGCCTGCCACAGGACGGACGGAGTTCAATTTCAAACCGAGCCGGAGCGCGTAGAGGTGAATCCGTGTGAATAATGAAGTTCTCAGACATAATTCGACTTTCAAATATATACATGTAAATAAATCACAAAATTGTCCGCAACACAAAATAAATGTTTAGAAAACGTTTATTGTTGACGCCACACACACACACCCTGGTCGTCAAGTGTATTCAATTGCGTACATATTGCAATGTGGCAGGTACAAAACATGCTCGCATCACCGCACACCACACGCGCACTCACTCCCCTTGTTCCACTTGCGCCCGTTCACTTATCGTTCTGCAGCAAGGTCTCTCGTTTTACTCATGAAAGGGGGGCGGGGGGGGGGGCGAGTTCTCAACGTTGCCTCCACGAATTTCAAACAAAAATCAGTCGTGGCACGGGCACGGGGGGGGCAGGGCATATAAAAAAACACCCCCCCCCCACTCGCCCTCATTTAGTTCCCTCTCAAGCGTCGTCGGCATGACGCCCACATTGGCTGAACATCGAACGCCTACCGGTGCCGCGGGGGGCTGTGCGGGTCCCCGTGACGCCTCCGTGCCGCACGGACTCGTCACGTGGACCGCGCGCCGGCCCCGAGATTCTGGGGGCGCGGGGCGGTCGACAGCCTGCGGGCCTCGGAGCCGAACGAGCCACGCTCTTTAATAAAAAGGGAACTGGCGGCTCTTCGCGAGACGTTGTTTGTGAACGAGTCTCGTAGTCACCGCGTGCTGTGGCTCTTGCAATATTGTAGTTTTTATAAAATACAGAATTAAAAGAAATGGCTCTACGGTTGCATAACGCACCCGCAGTTCCCATGAACACCTCTGCACAACAAGAAGAAGACGATCCAGAAATAATGTTTGGTTTATTTCAAAGCGAACGAACAGTTCCCGCTCGCTGTGTGTTGGCAAATTCTCGTCTGCTGCACCCAGGGTCAGGCAAACAACTCCCGCCGAGGAGCCATCCGTGGTGTCGACGACTCCCCCACACCTCTCAAACCCCAGGCTCACAAGTTGCCCCCCGTGTCATCTACCTCTGACCCGAAATGCTCGCTCCCTCACCCTCCTCGACAAATCATGCAGACTGTTTCACTCCAGCATCTTGAGTTTCAAGCGCAACGAGACGCTAATAAGTCCATTCGGAATCTACCGTTTAAAACACGCGTCAAGATCCCAGCTGTACATTTGTTTTTTGTTATCAGACTTTTTACAATGGGGCTTTTTGCTGACGTTACGAGTCACTGGCCGTGACATCCCCCAGCCTCCATCCCCCCCCCTCTCGAGGAGGGCTTTTTGTTTTTTGGGGGGGGGGGGGTGGACGTTGCACCACCGAAGCTCGTCCCTTTGAGCGAGCTGGCGGGTGAGAATCAACAACCACGGAGTCGGCCACCAATTAAACCGCACGCAGCCAGAGATCAACAAAAGTCGCCCTCAACTGCCGCGCGTAACGGGGGGCAACGCGGGGTGAGTTTAACAATCATCAGGTGCGTGCGGCATGTAATGACGTTTGCGTTTCAATGGGGAGGAGGAGGAGGGGGGGTGTGTGAAGACTGGCAAACAAAGGTTTTACTCTTCTTGGTTCTTTCGGTAAAGTCACGTAAAAGGGAAAAAATAAAATAATAAAAAATAATAAAATAATTCTCACGACGTTTCGGCCACAATGCAAGCAGCCGTCCTCAGGTGAATAACAGGTCTGTCGGAAAGACAGCGTCTGAATGGGCACCACCAGGCTTGGCAGCGTATATTTAAGCTGGGTTGGAAACACCAGGTATTCATTTGAGGCCGAGTCGACCTAGAGGAGGCCCAGGACCGGTTCAGACAATATAATCGTCAATGGTGTTGGTGGCCGTGAGCGAGAATCGAAGTCGGGTTGTCGAGCTCGAAGCGCAGCGCACGAACCGCTACACCACCGCTCCCCGCAATGAAGAACACTGCTCAAAACCAACGGAACATTTGACTCTTACACGGGCAACAGGAACAGACGTGTCGCGAGTTTAAGAATCGAACATTCAACGTCGATGAAGCGATGCATCGTGACACCGATATTAAAGTGTTTTTGTCGTTGCTGTTGCCTTTGCGCATTGTGGACTACGAGCGAGTTTGGAGCCAATTTGGGTGCACCGAACAAATCGTCTGCGCCTGCCGGAGGAGGGCTTAGTCCTGGGGAAGACGCGATTGAAATCGGCACAATACTTCCAACATGAGGCTTGGCAATAGCGAGAATCTTGTAGATACAACAACCGCAACATGGGCAGACACGGTAAAATAGAAATATGCATCACAAGACAAAGATCTCCCGTGTAGCCTTAACAGACTGTTGGGGCAAGTGCTGTTAGCGAGTAGCACCTATGAAGACCGGAATGGCACACGACGGGGTGAGAGGCCAGCACCATGCCCGGCCGCCTTTGTCTCCCTAGTGGCGGTCTACACACTGCACCAGGTACTCATGTGAGGCTAAGCAGACCTAGGGGAAGCCCAGGACCGGTTCAGATAATCGCCAATGGTGTTGCCGCATTCCTTGTGCAGCGCGCTAAGCGCGACACATATATGCGCGCGCGCGCACACAACACACACGTCCATGTGCCTGCCTTCTATGTCAGCAGAACATTGTGAACCACAACCACCAGCGTGGCTACGATTCGTTTCAATGGGGTAACATTACTAAAAATTCTCAAATCATAAAAAGCAACACAAATCACAAACGCAGCGTGGAGTATAACACAATTATACCATCGACTACATTAACATTGGCAGCTCTCGCTTTAGAACACACGCACGCGGAATTCACCCACGGGGGGGGGGGGGGGGATGATATTCGATTGCATCCCACACAAGAGTAAAAACACGCCGACACAAAAGAAGATTCGAGCCCTCCCGTGGGTTGCCCTTGTTCGGAGATAACGCGGCGCCAAGATCAGAGCGCAAACGCACGGGCCGCGCATTTCCCGAGTGCTAGACGACTTTTTCTTATGGCAAGGGGTAGGGTGGGTTGGGGGGGAAACCCCAGCAACGTCTTGTGCGTGTGGATACTGAGATTATGGGGCCATTCGAGAGGCTCTCTGGCGGCTCGGTGGATTAAGGCTGGCAAGGGTCAACACTCGGTACGCAAAGGATGTAGCCCCCCCCACCACCACCACAGCGATGACGAGGTGAATGCTTCGGGCACGGTTTCGTTGTTGCAATTTACTTGTGCGTCTCGTTTCACCCACCCAAAGGCGCTCGTACTGGTTCTCTGTCTCTCGTGTGTCTGTGCATTCCACAAGTCCCGAGGGAGCACACCACAAACCAGAGGTCGCAACCGGGTACCCGATACCTGTACCCTACCCGATACCCGGCTACTCGTACCCGGCCGGGCACGGGTAGCCGTTTGAGACCCTGGTGCGGCCGGGTACGGGTAAGGAATCAAAACCCGTTTGCGACCTCTGCCACAAACTAGCACGCAATCACCAAAGAAATCCCAGGACGTCAACTCTCAGACCCACGGGTCGACTACAAAAACCCCCCCTTCGCTGCCCCCTCCTCCAGCCATGTAGCCTGAACAGACTGTTGGGGCAAGTGCTGTGAGCGAGCACCTGTGAAGGCCGGGACACGGCACACGAGGGGGTGGGTGGCCACCACCACGTCCGGCTACCTTCATCTCCCCCCAATGGCAATGCTTACACACCGCACCAGGTACTCATTTTAGGCTGAGTCGACCTAGGCAAGGGGCCCAGGACCGGTTCAGATAATCGTCACCGATGTTGGCCGTGAGCGGGAATCGAACTCGGGTCGCCGGCTCCGAAGAGCAGTGCGCTCACCGCTACACGACGGCTCGCTAACACGCACACGGCACACGAGCGTGCGTTTGTGTCCTGCGCACGAGAATCTAAATTAGTCGATTAACTAAACGCGACGCGCAGCCTACACACGAGTGACACTCATCACAGGTCTCGGTGGGGGGGCAATCGATCACCCATTGCCCTCCCCCCCTTGGATCGACGCCGATGGCCGAGCACCGCGCACATGGGCCGTGTTGCACACAACGCAGTGGGGGGGGGGGGTCCATGAGGAGGGGGGGGTGTGAGGAGGAGGAGGGGGGGGGGCATCGGCGTCACGGCGCGGGTTTTTGACGGAAGACGAAAACTGCTTTGGCAAAGATAACTTTTGCGCCATGACACGGGTGTGTTTGAGGCAGGAATCGCATCGGATATTCTTAACGGTACCAAGAGCCAGACTCTGGACACAAACACAATGTCCAGACTGACAACCAACACGAGACAATATACTAAACTTTTTTTTATCCACTGAGCTATTTAGCTTTATTTTACAAGCGATTTGGCCACAAATGATAGCTCAACTAAGTGGCTTATCGTGTAGAAATGTGTAGCGGCCAAATACTCGAAAGGCGTGTTTCTAAATGTGGAGGGGAAAAAAACCAGAGGACACGGAGAAAAATCCACGCGGCCACGGAGAGAACTTGAAAACTCCAAATGTACAGCAGGCGTCAGGGTCGGGATCGAACCCACGATCTCCTGCGTACCAGGCGAGGTAGTTAACATCTCGCCACCGCGGTGTACAGCGTCCGTTGATTACAAGTGTAATCAATCACCTTGGCAGTTGACCACTGTTAGTGCACACGTACAGAAAGTGATATCAGATTCAATAATTGGACGAAACTCGGATAAAGATGAACGTGTACAACAAGCCCGAGTGGATGTTTGAAGCCTTATCGTCATAATTTGAGACATTCATGGATGGGAATGTCTGGATCATGTGGTGCTCACACAATGACCCACTTAACGATGCCACTACATCACAACTTTGGCCAAAACACAGCGACGCAAACAGCACATCGAGCAGGGTTCGGTCTTATTAACTCTCACAAGCACAGCCGGGGGTGGGGGTTAAGCCTGTCGGAACCGGGGCTTGCCAGGTGTTGTAGGCGTATGGCCGAGGTGTCACCAGGAGGGGATATGACAGTACTGGGCCTTTCACCGCTGTCCTCCAAATGAAGCAAAAACCGCCATTAATGGGAACCGGCCAAACATCCTAAAGTAGCGGGACCAGCCTGATATATATTTTTTAAGACTCATTGATTCATAATAGTTTCGATTTAAAGCTTTCGTGACTGCAGGGATTCATCTTCTTGGTTCTTTCGGTAAAGTCACGTAGAAGGGAAATAATAAAATAAAAATAGACGCTGTCTTTCTGACAGACCTGTTCTTCACCTGACGACTGCTTGCGTTGTGGCTGAAACGTCGTGAGAATTCTTTAATATTTTATTATTATTTTATTATTTCCCTTTTACGTGACTTTACCGAAAGAACCAAGAAGATTCATAATAGGTTTATTTTGGGGGTTAAATCGCGTAAATATAAAAATGTGTCGTTAAACCCGCCACCAACCGACACAGCAAATTAGTAAGTACAGCACACCAGTGTGTTGGGAGAGCCAAGCCACAACATTTACAATCTGAGCATGACGTTTCGCCAGTAATTGCAACTAGCTTCATCAGGCGACAGCCAGATTTGTGAGACTCAGGAAAAGACTCATTGAGGCTCTCAGGAAAACAACTGATGCTACTGTAGTTATTAATTAGCATAAGTTTACTGGACATCTGCGAAACAAAGATCTTTACAGGTCATCGGATTCCTCCGGTAAACAAATATTCTGACTAGAATACCGATTACTATATAACGCTTCATCTGGCCTCTCCTTTTTTTCCCCCACACAGCTCCAAACGCGCTCACAACACACACGGTGATTCTGCAACTGCCCTCCATTGCCGAGACTCTTGGAAAAGCAATTCGGCTTCGCTTTAAAACCCAAAGGGATCACAAAAACAGAAACTGCCACGTAGGACGGCAGACAAACCGCCTGCACAGCAAACGTCAGATGGCGGCGCGCACGGTGCACCGTATTTTTGTAACAGCGGCGGATCAAAGTGCTTGATGTATTCTCGGTAAACAGGAGCAGAGGTTCCAATCGTCTTGTCAGCGGCTCCTATTGGAGAGGCGGGCGGGCAGGGGGTGGGGGTAGAACCCGCAGTCTTGGAGAGGATGGCATTGATTAGGCGCAGCTTTAACACAAACGATCGTAAAAATCGTAACGGACGGCAGTGATGAACAGTGTTTGTTGCATGGCTGAGGTACGCATCAAGCATGCACGCAGACCTACAAATATGGCTGGTTTTTAGGATAAATTTTGGGATGAAACTCTTACATATATATTTTTACGACATAAATCACCAACATCCCCCCCTTTAACACGGAGGCTTCCAATATCATGATTCATACGATGGTTTTTTTGGGTCAGATGGTGGAAGTAAATTGTGTCGTAAATCCTCCACCCAACACAGCCAATTAATATAAAGTAGTCACGTGAAGAACAAACGTGCCAATTTTATGACTGCTTCAGCACACCGATGTGGTGTTTGGGAGAGCGATCCACACACATATGTAACAATTGGCTACGACGTTTCAGTGCTAGTTTACAACCGGCATGACCATGCACAGTTGACGGAATTGCAAAAAGCATCCACCTCGTAGAAGTTGATACATTTAACACACAGCGCTTTTCGTGACCAACATCATTCGTAATTGATCGTTTGTGTGTCAAACTTATATATTGGCTGCGTCGGTTGGAGGGTTCAAGACACATTCGAACTTGCGCGATCAGCCCCAAAAATCGATTATGAGTCGACGAACATCCCTCACGTATTCCTCTTTCGGTCAGCACGGGGTGGGTCACACGTGGTGCGCCAGAACGACCCGGGAGAACGGTGCGAGACCATCAACTCACAACGAGTCTCCTCTCATCTGCGATCCTATTATCCGCAGGGCCTAACAGATCTTGCAACTATTCCCAATCACCCAGCGTCGGCGCTCCTCGCCTACCCTCGAGTTAAAAGATAACAGAAAGAAAACGTGTTGCCAGTTCTTAAATTCACCTCCATTCTCCATGGCTTCCTTGGATAAGAAGAGGAGGCCTGCACGACACGGCGAGGGAGTTGGATTCACAAACCACACCCAAGTGGAGAACTCATCCCGACGTTCACGATGCTCAGGCACCACACCTGCGGCGCGCGTTGTCCCGCACGCAGAATCATTCCCGTCGCCCCGCATATTTTCCAACAACGTCGCGGTTAAGAGAAATCTTTTCTCAGACTACACCACGACTCCTCAGATCCACAATTTTGCTCATCTGCAAACGGGTCCCCCAAGTTCACTGCGGATAAGAGGCACGCAAACGTACTTGTGCGGTCGTTTCACGAGGATGCCCTTACGCAACACGTGCCAGGTGCGCCCCTTTCGTGCTGCAAGGAGCGGCTCTCTGCGCGTTCCCCCCCCCCCCCCCCCCCCATCGGCGATCGGTAACGTGAAGGAACGAACTCGTAAAAGGAGATGCTTATATTTTTTGTAGTCGTCGGTGCCTGGGCCGAGACTATCGGCCCACCAGCAGGGAGCAGCTGGAGTGACTGCCTGGACTCACGCCGAGGATTCCCAGCGGTGCTGGCTCAGCACAATCACGCGGCCCTCACGAGTATCCAGCCACCAGCGTCGCTAGCGCAGCTAACGCAGCACGGCCGAGACGAGGGTGAGAGCAAAGGGCTTGGACTTGGCCAACGGTTCGGGATCGTGCTCGCAGCAGGACTCGCGTTAAAGAGAGACCGGGCGTGCGAGCGTGGCACGCGCAGCGAGGGGACGGCCACGCCGCTCGTTAGCGAGAGCAGGTCGCCGGGTGGCACCATCGACGTGATCCCCGCATCGTTGGTGCCACACGGCGACCTGCGCCCGTTTGCAAGCGCTCGCCAACGAGCGCTCGTCACCGCACGGGCACCAGCGACGCGCCGCGCGCAATCTACTCGCAACGTCGTAGTCCCCGCGTAAACTATAAATACCCTGCTCTTCCGTACGCAACATAAAACGATCTCAGTGGTTATTAAATAGAGGCCAATGAACGGCTGGCGTCGGACTCACAGGTACAAAGAGGACTGACCCTATCAGCCACATAGCTGCACGTTTGCCGAAGGGACCGGAGGCTGTAGATAGGAACACACCGATGGCAGTCGACTGCTGGATATAAAAATATACGCGTTAAAAGACCCGCCTGACGCAGCAGAGACATTGCCGAAACCGAGTTTACGCTTGTGCGTTCATCTTGACCGGATCTGCTCCGAGTTATGTGCGAGGATCTGTGTTGAACATATGATTGAACAGCTCATCAGTGTGGCTGCGAAAAAAAAAGAGGAAACTGCAAGAACAGAAGAGGGTTGTAGCCTGCGCTAAATTCTGGACCTATAAAAAAAAAACACCGGCCTGAATTAAGGAGCTACGATGGGCTGCACAGTCTGATAAAAAAAACCTGGACCGCAAATGAATAAAGAACGTGGGGAATTACAAGCAAAAGCGTTTGTTCACAGCAAGAAATCCGCCCCTAGGCAGCGGCACTCGCACTGCTAAGTGAATCCTGCACACCGCACGGGAGAGTTGTATCAGGAACACAAGGAATCACAACTCGGATTTAAACTTGCTCGGATCCGAACAGGCTTTTAAAAAAAAAAAAGGGGGTTGTTTGGAACCCACGGCAGGTTTTAATTAAGAGGACCCTGGCCAGCACCAGAGCTCGTTTGCCCGATGTAGGGAAGGGGGGAGCGGCACGTCGGCACATTTCCATGGCGACGCACGGCGACGCACGTCATCTTCCGGAGCGCAGGAAGTGGCCGAGTTGCAGCTGTCTTCGCTTCAGGTCCACGTGCATGAGAGATGGGGCTCGAGGGTGGCGCCAGCTTACGTTGCTGTCGCTCGAACGTCAAATTGACGTCGCGGGCGGAGGCGATTAAACGGGCGGTTCGTGCGATCGGCCCACCAACGCCTTTAGGGGGCGGAGCTCGCACACGATGTAGAAACCCGAGATTCGTTTCCCTCATGAAGGGCCACGCTTTCTTGGATGCGCAACAACAACAACAGCAACCTCGGTGCGCGATCAACGCGGTCGGCTGGCGACGCCTCGTGTGCGGTACGTTGAACCCGAAGAACAGTCTCCTTGCACGTCAGGTTTAGCTGTGCCCAGGTCAGGTCGGATATACTTAAAAGACCTGGTCCTCGCCGTGGCCCCAGTTGAACGCGGGCAACGGGAGGAGGGGGAGGAAGGAGGGGGGGGTGTTTGTGTGAATGTGACCTCGGCCTGGATGGCACTGCCCGCGCCGCGTGATCTCCGCGTCTCCGCACTGGCGGCGGTGCGGGAGACGTGACAACCACGCACCCGGTTAGTCCGAGTCATCGTCCTCGTCGCTGTCTTCTTCACTATCCTCCTCCTCGTCCTCCTCCTCCTCGTCCTCCTCCTCCTCGTCGCCAAGGAAGGAGAAGGGCGTCGCGTTGCGGGAGCGGCCGCCGCCGCCGGAGCGAGGGGCCGCGTCGACCACCGCCAACGCCAACGTGGCGCCGTCCACCTCGATGTCCAGCGGAGAGGGCAGCCCGTCCAGCCTGCAAGCCACGCGGCCAACCACACTCCCGTCTCACCCCAACAGGCCGCACCCCGTGTCTAGCCGCGACGCAACGGCTCGGCTCCGGCACACTGGAGCTGAACGGCTCCCATGGGGTCTCGCAAGCGACATGACAGCTCCCTGTCTATACTCTTAGGTTTTTTCGGTAAAGTCACGCAGCACGATTGCTGTATTACTTGATACAGCAATCGTGCTGTGACGGTTCCACCTGAAGACGGAAGCTTGTGTTGCCTCCGAAACGTCGTGATTTTTATTTTATTTTTATTTTACTTTTATTAATTTTATTTTTATTTTTTACCTACGTGACTTTACCGAAAAAACCTAAGAGTATAAATCCTTGCAGTCACGAAAGCTTCAAATCTAGAATTAGCTCCCTGTCTAACCGTAAATCAGTGTTCTTCATTGCAATGTTCGTGGGCCACTGGTGGCCTTTAGCGAGGTCCGTGTCGTGCTGCCCCCGACAATACACAAATGGTGAAAACACTCCCCATCATCAACCTTCTGCTGTCAAACCCCCAATGGTTTCATGTGTGTGGCGGCCCTCACACTGATGATGCCTTATCGGCAAAAGTGGCACCCCTTCTGAAAATCAGTGAACAACACGTTTTATCAGATAAAACAAAGAGCTCCCTCTCCTTCTGGCTCGAACGTTACCACCCCCGGTTTGTCTACGATGATGTTACCGCCTACGGGCAAATCACGCGGAATACGCCCCATCTCTGAATCTCAGCAGGGTTGAGCCTGGATAATGCTTCTCAAGCGGGAAATACGGTGCGGGCAGCGGAGGGCAGCTCAGCCAAATCAACTGTTCGACTGTACTAGGACCGCCCCCCCCCCCCCCCCCGTCACAACCTGCTATACGCTCCCCTCCACCAACCTGTACTGACCAGCGTGGTGAAGTACGCCTAAGCAACCCCCTGCGTCCTGCACAACGTGGGGAGGCCTTCGTCGAGCAGAGAGATACAAAAAATTGGCTGCCCATGGTTCCTGTAAACTCGGTGCCGCCATAGCGCCACTGTGCCACGCGTGCCGTGTTAAATTAGCCAACAGCTGAGCACACCCCTTCACCGAGACACCCAGCCTGGGGTTGTTTTTGTTACTTTACCAGAAAAGGTCCACGAAGCTATATAGCGCTTTATCAGAAGCTACATGGCTATAAACGATAGCTCAACGAAGTGGCCTATTACGTGTGAAATTATAGCAGCAGTCAAAATACTCTAAACGAATGTTTCCAAATGTCTAGGGAAAAATCGGAGGACCCGGAGACAAATCCACGCGACCACGGTGAGAAAGACATGCAACCTCAAAATAGCCAGGATCGAACCCAAGCAATCCTGTTATCCAGGTGAGGTAGCTAACATCTCGCAGCGCCCAATTAAGGTTAAATACGAGCGTGGCGTCAAGCCCGTGCCTCGCGCTCGCCGGCACGCGACAAAACCGCACACATCGACACAACCGCAGACACACTGCACAGGCAGGGCAAGCCGGGCCCTGCGAACGTTGGCTCAAACTCACCGGCCGGACGCGGCGTTCTGATCGGCCGACTCGAACTCCTGACACGCCATGTCTGCAAACGGGACAGCGGCCGGAAATACGTCAGGTGAGTCCGTCGGATCGGCATTCGGGTCGCGTCTCTCGCGCCACCATCGCACGCGGCCAGGTGTGGGGGCGGCGAGTGCCGTCCGTACAAGTTGTCGAGTCCGGCCACACGCTGGTGGTGGTGGTCGCTTTACGCCAGTATTCCTTGCCATTGACCATTCCACCCACCCGACAAGACTGTCACGTTCACAAGGATATAATTTGTACATGCGGAAGTGTCGATCAAATTCGGATTGAAAAAATTAACCCGTAAAAACTAAGTTTTTCACTATAAATCCTTTATAAGCGTGGCGGCTAGAGTCCGCTCGTCCTCTGGCTTGAGATGGCTGCCACCTATGGGTCAGATGATTGCCTGCCACCATTAAGCAATTGGTAATTAAATATAAAAAAAAATTCCTAAAAAGTGTAAAGTTATGGAAAAAAAATTTCACGAAAATAAATTGTCACGCACAACGAGTCTGTGTGCAAAATGTCAGCTCGATTGGATCACGGGAAGTGGGTTAAAAAACGACCGAAAGATTTGCATGGTCGTAAGCGCGCAAGCAAGCAAGTGAACTTAATATAAAGGATTTAAAAAGGCCCTTCCTCCCTCCTCACGTCTCGCGACTGGATTCAATGTCTAACGACGCTTCGCTCAAACTGCTCCGAGCTTCACCAGGATGCGATCTCAGGAATCAGGCGATTTCCGTTTCCAGAGCTACCTTGGTTGCCCAGGCGCGTGTGCCGGTGAATAAAGGCTTCTGTAGAATTAAGTCGCGCGAGTGATTTCAACGCCTTTTTCCCCTCCCTCGCTCTCGATATGTACGTATGCACGTTGAACGATACGCTACGGGAACTGCGAGGTCAACTGCTATGAATGTGCCAGTAGTTCCACAATTTTCGGTCGTACGTTTCACACACTTTGAAGACACGGGTATTCATCAGTGTAATCACGAAGTGACTTGCTTTTTTTTTATTTGCGTCAACCGATTATGACTGCGATTTACGGAGAGACAATTTGTACCCGTATTTCTTGTTGACGAGGGGAAAAAAAACGCTCATGAAACGACGCGTCGGACGTGCTCGGACAAAATGACGCACGCGGTGAGGGTGGAGTGCGGGGGAACAGAGTGGGGTGGCGAGGCGAGGGGAGGATCGGGAGTCGTACCGCGCACGAACGGCTGCAGGGCCTTGGGCACGAGGAGGCGCGCACGCTCCATGTTCTCGGGCGAGCACGTCCCCGTCTCCAGGCCGAACGTGAGCCCCATGCGCTTGAGGACCTCAACGTCGTCGTGGATCTCAAACGCGTTGTCAAAGTTGAAGAGGTACTCGAACCTGCACAGATGGATGGACAAATGGGGAGGGAGTGGAGGGAAGCAGCCTGGGTGAGACGCGTGCCCCACCACACTCACCCCTAGGCCTGTGCACCCATTCACCCGCCGCACCGACCAGCTGACCCGGTCACCAGACCACCAACTCGTCCGGCCGCCTGCTCGGCCATCAGGCACAGCAGCTCACCCACGCGCAGTCCCCCCACCCAACCACGAACACACGTGCCCACGCACGTGTCCGTTACGTGCATAGCGATTCTCCCCCAGTGAGTCTATGACGGGCGAGCGGGCGGCTGTAGCGGCGAGTTGACCGCCAGCGTGAGCACGTGTGGAGTGTCTAGGGGACGGCTGCTCCCAGAGCGCCGGCTCCCACGGCGGTCACTCACTTGTCGCTGGAGATGCTGCAGTCGATGACGGTCTTCTTGCTCGTGTTGATGATGATGAACGGCAGGTGGATGGCAGTGTTGTGTGCGGGCCCCCGCTTCGTCACTTTCTCCATCTCCTGGTTCCTCTGCACCAGGTTCTTGAAGGCGATTTGCTACGGGTCACAACAACTAAATTTAACTTACATAAAAAACTATCAGTGCATGGATGTATGTTGAACTTCTATTGCACATCATCACCATCACCTCCATCAACATCCCCCACTTCCTCATCATGCAGGTACCTCAACATCACCACCATCAACATCATCACCTCATCACCACCATCTTCATGTATGGTGAACTTCTTTTGCACCGAACGTAACCAACTGTACTAATCGGAGGTGCCGATGGAAGGACAACAAACTAAACACAAAACGAAAAAAAATATGACGCTCCTGTCACTTGGGTCACATTTTGTTTAAAAAAATGTAATGGTGATTTTAAGACCACAATGCACTTCTTCAGGAAATTCTGACGGTGTTTGGCATAATGCCCAAACGGGCCATGTGCATTTCAAACATTTTCATGCACCGTTCCAGCCTTCACGCAATTATCCTGCCATCGACAGAGGACAAGACTATCCCCAGTCACACCCTGCACCAGGCCTACATGGAATCACCTGCAGGATCAACTCATGCAGCTGGGACTGCTTCTGCTTGATCCTCTCCATCTTCCTCTGCCTCTCCCGCTGCGGAGACAGCAGAAGCAGCACAAACATTACCAACGTACCCACATGAACGTCATCAACGCACCCGCACGAACGCTACCAACGTACCGCACAACGCCGGCTATTTGAGGCTCCTCACAATCCAGCACCCCGCCCCCCCCCACCACCACATGACAGTTCAATGGAATTGTCACGGTCTGGGATTTCAATTTGATTTAACACCGATGAGTGCCAGATTAACTTAGACACTACAAAGACCTCGCCCCACCCTATCCGTGTAGCCCTTAAGAGTCTGTTGGGACAAGTGCAATGAGCGCCCGCACGGCACACGAGGGGGGGGTGTGTGGCCAGCTAGGGGAGGCCCAGGACCGGTTCAGATAATCGTCATCGATGTTGGCCGTGGGTGGGTTCGTAGCGTGCTCCCCATACTTACGAGCAGTGGGCCACAGACGTAAAACAAGGGGATGAAAAATGAATACAGAAGTGCTGCAAGAGAGAGATACGAGAGAGGAGGCGTATTCAGGACAACCATTCGACTGAAATTAGAAGTATTCAGAAAGTGAGAACGACGGACGTATTTAGAACAGAGACATAAGTGAGATACGAGACACGTATTCAGAAGAGAAAGAGAGACACCAAATAGTTCTGTGAAACGCCCAGATAATCCAGGGGTGGCGACTCCACAAAACTTCTCTCCTTCACAAGACCACGCTCACCCAAAACCTCCGTTTCCTGCTGTGATGCCGCGAGTGGCGAGCGGGACCCGGGACCCGATTCTCCCGGCGGCAGCGACGACGCTGCCGATTGTGTCCAAGTACGTACGTCTAAACTTCTCTCGCACCGTTCACAACCAACCACGCTAATCGGAGGTGCGTCCACGCACTCGCGCCGGGTTTACCTCCAGGTTTTGGCATTCCTGCGCCGAGTTGGTGGGCAGCCCGATCCAGCGAATCTCCTTCTTCTCCTTCGAGATGATGTTCATGGCCATGAGGACGTTCAGGGCGTCGTACACGCGCCTACGGATGTTCTTCTGGTCGTACGTCTGGTCGGGCGGAATCAAAACGCGCGTGACTTAACGGCGAGACGCGAATCGCCCTCGTGCGTCCTTCGAGCTGACGATGCGGGTCTCTGCCACCCGGCGACGCGCAGGAACGCAGGCGTCATGAGGCACTTGCCTTCAGGACAGCGAGACAGCTAATCGATGAGCACGCTCCAATTTACAAATGGCCTAAACCCGATAATCCACTTCACCGTGGTGACCCGGGGGACTTTCTGCCCAGCATTTCAGAATCTGCCGACCACCTCAAATATTGATTTATTTTTGTACGTAAACAAACGTGGTGAAGACCGGGGGGGGAGGGGAAGGGGGGTGGGGGGGTGCTAGCCGTGGACACCATAATCCCAAGAGGTGCCTCACCACGGCATAACCGAAACCACAAGCGCCCGCGTCCGAGCGCGGCGTGCTGAGGCGGCGTTTTTTTGTTTACAAGTTTCTCCTGTCACTGCGACACCGCCAGTCGGCACACGCCCGCCGTGCAAATTACGTAACCACGCACGGAGCGTTCATTGCACAAGGGGTAAAATGTGCGCATGTCGGCACCACGATCATAGCCATTTGCGGCTCTGTGAGATAATACACCGCCAGGAGATGGACTATCCCCACGTCGTGTCGATCGTGGGCTTGTTTCGACCATACTTCACCACGTTGGCCGGTATAGATTGGTGAAAATGGGGGAGGGGTAGGAGTGGTGGAGAGGGGTGGGGGGTGGGAACCAGCACCAGTTTAGCATCCACTCGCCACTGATGTTTACCATGACCAGGAATTGAACCCAGGTCGCCGGGTTCAAACAGTAGTATTATAAATTTCGATTTAAAGCTATAAGCACTAGCCCCTCAATATTCATAATTTCCTTTATTTACCCACACAAGCTTCACTGAAGCTCAACGACATTTTGTTTTTCAGTTGGGTTCCTGCATTGGGAATGTTTGGGCCAATTATAATCGCAAGCGTTTTGGCTTCCGGGATGAAGCCCCGAGTATCCGGAGAAAATCCATAAAAAGGGTGGCGAACCCGAAAAGCTCCAGAGAGACAGGTTTAGGAATCCATTCGCTGTGACCACCATCGAACTGCCCCCAGCAGGGTTTGCGAGCTTCACAAAGACGCCCGATCCACCAACGCCTTGCTTCTAAAGCGGCAGGCCACCAGCCAGTTCTGGAATGTGACTCATTCAACACTCATTCTTTCAAAAGTCACCTTTTGCCCCGCGCCTCCGATTAGCACGGTTGGTGAGGTACGACAGCGAAAGAAGTTGACCGTACATACATTCGTACTTTTCTAAAGTCACTGCAATGAACTCAAGACTCGCGTAAAAATTTTTTGTTGTTGTACGTTCAGCGCCCGTGTCACGGGCTCGCCGTGTTTACTGCGATATAGAAATCACCGCTATTATTATGACAGTTGCTACAATTATCAACTATTTTTATATATTTTACCAGGTAAGGCCCACCGAGGTATGAGCTATTTTTCATAAGCAACCCGGCCACAAATGACAGCACCTCAATGAAGTGGCTTATCATCATGTGAAAATTGACAGCAGCCACAACTCTAAACGCGTGACGTCGATTCTAAATATCGAGGGAAAAACCGGAGGACCCGGAGAAAAATCCACACGACCACAGCAAGAGATGGACATGCAAATCCCAAATATACAGGAGGCGTCAGTGGTCGGGATATAACCCCTGACCCTCCTGTATACCAGGTGAGGGCGCATAGCTCCAATGGCTTCATATAATAAAAACCGGAGGAGCCGGAGACAAATCCAGGGTGGGGGGGAGGGTGTCTGTCAGCTGAGTGCTACGAGGACTGGGGGGGGGGTCGACTCACCCCGGCGGCGGCCGCCAGTCGTGCGCTGCTGGTGATCTCGCCCACGAGCTCGTCGGCCACCTCGTTGTACGACGTCGTGCCCTTCTGCTGCACCTTCTCGCACACCTTCATTGAGAAGTGGCGCAGGCCCTTGCCGTTCTTGTCTCCCTTGCGGCCCTTGCTGCACACGCGCCGAGGGACAGGACGGGTCGTACGAACTATACGTTGGGACTTCTTTCGCGCCGTACGTAGCCAACCGTGCAAATCGGAGGTGCCGGGGTAAGGACAACAAACTAGACACAAGAAGCACTTCTAAAGAAAAGTTTGCAATCCAGCTGATTTAAAAGTGCATAGCTCCAGTGGCTTCCTAATATCGGAAGGAAGAGCGTTCCGGATGGTTGCATCATCAACATCACCACCATCATCACCTCCATCAACATCCCCCACTTCCTCATTATGCATATTCCTCCTTAACATCGCACGATCAACATCACCACCAACATGCAAGTATGTTGAACTTCTTTCGCACCGTACGTAGCCGACCGTGTTAATCGGGGGATAACAAACTAAACACAAAAAGCAGTTACAAAAAAAATGAGTTTTCTATAGCTCCAGTGGCTTCCTCATATCGGAAGAGCGTTCCAGATGGCCGCAGAAGCGCACCTGAAAGGGTGCGATGTGGTGACCGTCCCTGTTCGATGGTTAGCTACAAGCCGGTCCCTGACGAGATGAGCAGGGTATTGTGGTTCATTTGTGGCAAGCACGGTGTGTGTAATGGAGTGCGACCTTGTTTGTAATGTTTTCGTTCGGCAACCGGAAGCGAATGCAGCTCAGTGAGCACTGGACGGACATGGTCGAATCTTGCAGTATCCGTCACGACGGTGGGGGGGGGGGGGGAGATGACGGGCTCGCTTTGATCCATGTACCGTTTGAGATCAAATCTCGTCGGGACAATCGCACGTGAAACGGAGGAAACGAACAGAACTCCGTACATTCCATCGGGTACGTGCACCCAGCCGATTTCATCGCTCCCGCTTCGCGGTGCGACGTATTCTCGAACGCGTTCCCTACTTTGGCTCCCACTCACTCATTAGTCTGGACTGTCGGCCATCACCCATCGCAGCGGCTCGTCCCGCCTAAACCCCGCTTGCTTTCCCTGAACGTGAACACGATGACTCTGCCTTGCGCACGCATTCTTTACTCGGTTCACTTGCGAAGCTTGCGCCTCTCCGCGTACTTTTCACGCCCAACTCGACGCGTCTACCTATAACGTAGCGCCATCGATTTTAATGAACGAACCGAAACACCGACACACAACCCGCCGAGAACAGTTGCCGATCGGTGGACACCGGGCGTTGACTTAAGACGAAAATGCATTCCATATTCGGAGATGGTTCACAAACAACAAGCACATCCATAAACCCCAAGGCCCTCCTCTCTCTCTCTCTCTGATGCTCGCAGACTGTCCGGGACGCTGGTAAACGTCGTACACGTTTATATTAATAGTCGTATTTCGTTCCGCCGCGCGGGCTCGGGTTTCACTCGAGCTATTCACGAGCACTCAAAATAGCCGATTCAGGTCTTCCACAGCAATGTTGCAATGCAACATTGCTGCCACTGCCAACTTGGCTAGGGGGGAGGGCAAAAAGGCCATGGCAAAAACAGAGATAGAAAAATAAACGCGGCTCTCTCCGCGATGCCACGCCGAATAACAAACACGCACGTGGTACGGCCCCGGGTGGCGGCACAGCTCCGGGGTGGGGTGGGGGGGGGCCCGGCAGCATCGGCCTTGGGAAGCAAGCGAGCCAGCTACTTTTGAGGGCACAGGTTCGAGCCCCGGGTTCCGGGCGCCCTCTCGGGGAGCCAATGTCCGGCGTTGGGGAGGCGCCGAGACAGCGAATAAATTCCGGCGTCGTCGCGTGATCCTCCCCTCCCTCACCCTCCCCGCCACCCGCCGATTCGGCGCGTCGGCAACAATTCGCGCCCGCCTTGCGATTCGAGTCGGGACGTTTCAGTCTCGTGTTCGCCGTCTCATTTGTATTGTTTCCTTAACATTCCGGCTCACTTAGAGATTTGTTTGCTCCGCTATCCTTTGTACAAGTCGCACGGCCGCTTCCTTCAGCGCGAGGCCATCTTGTGGTGACAGATGGGACGGAGGTGCGTGCGCATGTAGTTTAACTTCTTTCGCATCGTCCGAAACCAACCGTGCTATTCGGAGGTGTTTTAACTTCATAGGTGCTCAAGAACAGCACTTCCCCTCAAAAGTCTGTTAAGGCTATCAGGGGGATCTCGGTCTTGGTTAACGGTACAGGAGGATGTAGAGCTGATTGGACTTGCTGATGACTGGTACCAGCAGTGTCAAGATGGGCCTATGTAGGAGGACCATGAAGGACACTACTGGGCAGTTGGGGGCAGCTGCCCTCCAGCAACAGCGGAGGGCAGAGGAGCGACAGTCACAACAACGAGCGGAGTCAACCCATGGCAGCTGGATCTGTCCTGTGACCGCCTTCCAGTTGTGAGCCTTAGACACTTCACGTGGCCTCTAGTTAGACCTAGCCTGGCACAAGCGTCGCGGTGCCATCGCCTGCCACTTAGCGGCGAGTGATGGTTGTCATCGTCGCTGTTGTTGCGTTCACGTGTGGCCAGGCAAAAGGTTGGTGAAAGTCCGATCGGCCCTCGGTAAGGGAACGGGTTCCACACGCCTGTTGTGACTTAAGCGCGGGGGACACACACGAATCTCGAATACAGACGCGTGCGGAGCCGAGCTGGCGGGAGCGGCCCTGCCGGTTTTGCCCTTTGCTTGAGTTTGATTTTCCACTCACGTAACCGCCGACGACGCAGCCAGCGCCCGGTGCCAGGGACTCAGCGGCACTGCTCCATTCTTGCGCCCGCCCCATACAGGCAGACAATAGCGAGTTGGCCGGAACAATGCTTCTGAATAATAAGCAGATTTTTTTTTTTGGCCCTTAATAAAAAAGCGCGCGCTTTTCGTCAGCATGGCTGTAACCGTGGAAACGATCTCTGTTCTGTCTTTGAGTGGAAGCTTAAAGAACTTTGGGTGGGGGAGGGGGGCGGGGATGAGAACACTGGGTCTGCTAGCGGGCAGCAAAACCTAACCAAGCGTAGCGGTGATTGAAATGAAGACGCTGGAAAGAATCTGAAGCAGAAGATGCAACGGACGTCAACGGGGGATAACATGCAGAAGGCTGTCTTGCTACGGCGGTGGTTATGTCAGAAAAGACTGATGGGAGTGGAGCAGGAGGCACGGAAAGGAATGATAAAGACATCCTCAGCAGTTGCGATACGCAAACGATAATTATTATGCTGGTGACGATGATGACAGTGATGATTACTCATCGGAGGAGAGCAGCCGCTGCCAGATGTTTATTGACCCAGTGGCCATACGGGAAGAGGAACGGAGATTCCAGTCGTGTTGAGAACGGCTTTAGCATCAACAAATATCCCTGGATTAGGACAAACATCCATGGCTGTTTACATATTCGTATTTATTTAGCTTTTTGTCGTTTTGGTGAGCCGGGTTGCTCTTGCAAAATGAGACTCATCGCTGGTCTCTTGAGTTCTGGACCTGGTGAAACATCAACTTAACTTAAAAAGGATTCGGTAGTTGGTATCAAGGCCGACTTGTAACTTAACAGTTTGTTGGGTAAATTGACGCTGAAAGTTTCTGCGCGGGCGCCCGAAAAGAACGTGCTCGACGAGTGCACAACTTGCCGACTGCGATAGATCGTGGAAGCTGGACAAAGATAGCACGGAGGGGCGCGTGCGTAGAATTGTGTTGAGAGACAGAAAGGGGAGCACGTGTGGATCGGAGGAACAAATGCATATCGGAGACGTCGTCTCAACTGTCGGCGGAGGCAAGCGGGATTGGCCAAAGCACACGGCAAGAAGCGATGGTGGAAAGACGCAAGAGGCCGGCTACGGAATGGCGTTTTGACGGTCCTCCAACGGCTGGAAATTCCACATTCCTACGATGGGGGGGGATCAATGCGTACAACAGCACAGCGTCGTCTGTTGACGTGTCGGCAAGTGGCGTTCGTATTGGGGCCCTGTTGTTGCCCTTGGCCGGGGTTTGAACTCACAATCTCCCGGGGTTGGGAGGCCCCGCTGGCGGTCCCACACACTTGGCCGTAACGTGGCCAATTTGTATTCATGCAGCACCGAGCGCCGCGCACATAGAGGCCAGATAAATAAACAAAGAGCGATGGCCTCATTCATCTTGCGGTGCGTTGTTCTACGCGTGGCAACAGTTGGCAATCCCACGATTCACCCCCCTCCACCTCCGGCGATTCAACAAACGGTCTAAAGTTCGATTCAACCATCGATACTTCTCTGGTTCCGTACTTCTCTCGCACCTCCGATTAGCACGGTTGGCTACGTACGGTGATAAAGTGTTCCACGTGTGAAGTCACTGGCCTAAATGGAAGCAAGTAACAATGTTATCAGCCATGATCTATCCGCTGCTGGACAAAGCCTTCCACACACCGACGGCATCGCCGCGCAGTCCCTCGATGCTGCCAAACTCTCTCAACAAGCAGATCTCATCGCTCCATCTCCACCGTGGCCGCCCCCCCTCTCAGGCGTCTTTCTCTGCTCTCGGCCGTCGCCATCGTCTGTCCTCACCAGGAACTCTCTCCCATGAGGTCGCGGGAATCTCCGAGCCCGTTGACGCTTTTAAAGCTCGTCTTAAAAGTGATCTCTATACATGCTGCTAAACGTTTAGCCAATTCAGCAAATTGATTTTAGGATTTATTTCATGATTTTGAGATTTCTCGGTTTTTAGCTGAATGAGTTATTTATTGTCCATGTTGAGTGTCTGTCGCTGTGTCGTGTGCAGTCCTTTGAGATCTTTGATGAACGGCGTATTGTAAACATAATTATTATTATCTATCGGCAATCGGCATTCGAGCGACATGTCCTGCCCAAGCCCACTTAGCTTTCCTCAAAAGTCAATTTGTAAGAATCAAGGAATCTCTAAATTCCCGATAATTCATGATACCTTGTTTACTAACACTTTGGAAACGCATGCCCCCAAAAATGCAATTTGCTGTTCCGCTGACTGATGCGGAGCGCAAAGTTCCAGACAAGGGGGCTTTTTGTTCAGCAAAGGGCCCCCGAAGTCACTCACGCAACCAGAGCCGTGTGTTCGATGGGGCTTGGCAGGCCCCAGAGGGCCCATCGGAGCTCAATTATTCAAATATATTGTATTTACACCACATGCTAACACACAACACGCGAATGCACGCATCTACACGCCAAGTGAATAAAAAAAAAACGCGTTTCCACTTTGCTTGATCAAGGCGAGCGCTGTTCGTCGCGAGGGACATATTATTAAAGCCTGGCACGATGCACACAATGTCCATTGCCACATGACCCGGACTTGCACCTGATCTCGCGAGACCTTGGAAGCTTAGAAGCAGGGTTGATGAGCCCGGGTCGTGTGCTCAGACAGACGGCCAGCATGCACGTCAGGTTGTCATAGGTTGTGTCTGCAGGACTGTGTAACGTGGTGGTCAGCAGAGGGCAGTGTAGTTCAACCCAGTGGTCAGTGTTGCGCTGCCCTTCTGTACCTGCTCGCGTACGCTCCCTTGTCTGACCAGCGAGCGTGGCGGTCAAGTACAGAGAGGGAGCCACGCTTCAGGGACAAAGGTCGGGGCGGGGGATCAACTACGAATTGCGAAAGCACAAAACCTGCTGGGCAACGCGGGGGCCATGAAAGTAAGGCAACAGATTCTTGAATCTGGAACTTGCTTGCTCCCTGTGGTTTTGTTCTCCAGGCTCTCCCACACACGGAAAACACCCATGAACGGAACTCGCCAAACATTCCAATGGCAGGACCCTCATGAAGAAGAGTCTTGAGATTCAACGAGGCTTTTTAAATTAAAGGGCAAAGTTATTCACTTCTTATTCGATGAGCAAAAATGCTCAACCATCTTAATACAGAATTAATGCCATTTACCACCAAAATTGGCCACCAAAAATCTGGCTTTGCATCAAAGCGTTTTTGTTCCGTGCTCCTGTTTGACTAGTTAGAACCACTAAGAGAACTGGGGCCATCTGTATCATCTCGCGTGGAACACGGAGGTGGGGGGGGGATTTCAAACTGACCAATAAAAAAATATATAAAATGCTTAGAAAAATGTGGTTGAGCAGTACACGGCCGTGTCTGTTTAATCATCGCGTTCAAGCAACGCAATAACTACCGTGTTCGCCTCCGGCTTATGGTCGTGAAATTGGTACCCGCATGGTGCGTCGCAACTCTGTGGACGTTCTAACTGTACCGCTATACAACACACTATGCACGAAAAAAGCATTGAGGAAACGTGACTCAACGGACAAATGTAACCGCGGCTTAAAGCGGCAACGATTCCGCACAGGAGGCATTCTGTAAACGTGTTTGACGCGCGCTGTCAAAGTGCGCAGACTCTGACCTCTGCTGGCCACATGGTAACGATGCATCCCTCGCAACTGACCACAGGTTCACAAACGGAGCGTGCATCGGTGGCTGCGATGCTTTGCCTCCCACCTCCTCGCGGTGCAAATTAATCGTTGGGACTCACGATTCGGCCAACGATTGGGTTGATTTTTTTCCTTACACACTTTGGTGAAAGACGCAGCCTCTAGTGGCTGTTGTTACTCTGGGTCCTCCAGTTGTGTCCCACGCGGTTTTCACAAAGAGTTGGCCAATTCCTTCCCACTATGGGGACCGATCTGAGACGGTGTCCTGAGACTCAACGAGAGGCTCTCCTGGGTAAAGGAAGGGCATCACCATTATTATTATCATCGAATATTTAGCGCAGCTTTAGAAACTCTAATCATGGGTAAACTAAATTATTTTGTGATACTGCAGTGTTTGTATGTTGAACTTCTTTCGCACCGTACAGAGCCAACCACACTAATAGGTGTATTCTCTTTGTTTTTTTGGTAAAGTCACGTAGTAAAAAATGAAATGAAAAAACAACTGAATTAAATTCGGAGGCAACGCAAGTTTCCATCTTCATGTGTTGCCTCCGAAACGTCGTGATTTAATTCAGTTGTTATTCATTTATTTTTATTTTATTATTTAACTACGTGACTTTACCGAAAAAACCAAAGAGTATGAATCCTTGCAGTCACGAAAACTTCAAATCTAGAAGGAGGTGCATTAGCAGTGGTGCACAAACAAAAATAACAAAAAACCCAACACGTCCGTCAACAAGACTGTGGCCTTTAAAGGAAAAAATATTTCCCTGTTGACGTTTCGGGCAATGGCCCCTTCTTCAGAGCGCATAACAGAGAGGAAACAAAGAGGAAACAGAGTGGACAATAAGCATTGGAGACTGCACTTAACACCATGGGGGGGCCTGATAATTACATTGTAAATAATCGTGGGGAGCTGCCTGAAATTAACCGGATCACCATGAGCAGTGTTGGCAGAGTGCTCCTCCAACACACAGACCCCAAGCTGACCACCACTCATAGGTGGAGGAGACATCGTGGCGGCGATGTCAACCTGCATCCACCGACGTTGCCGCCTGAAAACAACACCCGCCAGGTCGCTGCCGTTCACGACAAACGTGTGCTGTAGGTTTGATCCTTCATTCCGTCTCATCGTCGTTGGTTCTGTTTTTACGTGCTCCAAATGCCAGTGTGTGAAAGCAGGACAATCGACCTTGGGGGCATCATCACCACCATCATCGTAGTCGTCATCAACACCATCATCATCATTAGCACAACCGCCATCATCAGCGTCATAATTGTTATCATTGCCATCCTTCCCTCAATGTCCCAAGTGTGGAGTGCGTTCATATAGGGGAGGAGGAGGAGTGGGATCATCTGTGAAAAGGAGCTTGATAGCTCATCGGATATCTCCAGGATAAAGATTTCGATTCCGAGCCAATGAGCTGAGAAGCGGGAACAAATGAGGGTTCATGATGATGGTTATGGCAGCGGATGGTGACAATGACAATTCCAGTTCTCTTGTTAATGTACCTGGCCAAGAGCACTTGAGAGTCGGAGAATGTGGTGGATGTCATGGGAACGGAGGTAGGGGGGGGGGATGTGCCCAGTGGTGGTGGCGTAGCAGTTAGTGCGCTGCCAACACCAGTGATGATTATCTGAACCAGTCATGGGCCTCCCCAAGGTCGACTAAGCCTCAAATTAATACCTGGTGCGGTGTTTAAACATCGTCACTGGGGAGAAAAAGGCGGCCGGGCGTGGTGCTGACCACCCACCCCCTCGTGTGCCGTTTCGGCCTTCATAGGTGTTACTCGCTCACAGCACTTGCCCCAACAGTTTGTTCAGGCTACACTGGGGAGGGAGGTGGGGGGATGAGAAGCCCTCCTGCCCGGTGTGGTGAGTGCATTGGGACGAGGATGGTACCCGGACCATGTTGGTGGGCTGTCCAGGGGGCGCATCTGCGTGTGCTGCGCTTGCTGCCCGTGCTGCCCGTGCTGGTTGCCCATCAGCACTGCGCCAGCCATGGCAGCGTTGCGCTGGGGAGTGCCCAGCAACTGCAGGGGAGGAGAGAGAGAGAGAACGAGAGGGGAGAAGTGCCGCACAGCAACGGACAGGCGGATGTCAGCCGTCGGCTCTCAGTCGTGCCATCGGACTCAGATGCCGGACGTGTGGCGATCGAGTCAGGTTGACCTTGTTTAGCCAGGTGACCAGGGGGATATTCCCCAAACGCAATATTAACCCGGGTCATCTAAACGACGGTTCACCCGATTCTCATGACAGCGATGCGCGTGTGGAGGTGTTCGTGAGAATTGGTACGCCAGAATTTGCACGAATTATATGCGAATTATGGGAGAATGTTACATATGCTGACGTTAGCCTATTAGCAACGTGACGTGCGGAGTGGAAAAACCCACTCTTGTTCCCTACCTCTACAATGCCACATCCATGCTCCCCACATTCCCTAACTCGCACTGACCAGCGTGGCGGTGTACGGTCAATAACCCCTTCAACCAGCACGGTGCAGGAAGGCGCTCATCCAGCAGTGGATAGACACAACGTGTTGCACATAATTGGTTCACGCGACCCAAGTAAGCCCCGAGAAGCACTACAGCCGATGACAGTGTAAAGAAAATAATTGCTTCTTGAACTAAACCGCGACGAACGAATCGCGAAGTAGGCGAATCGGAACTTCACATATATACTGGGGACATTGTGCAAATCGAAACCGTGCACGATGTCGCACTGGTCCGAGTGAGCGCGGGGCACCTTTCACGCGACTTCTGATAGCGGAGCGCAGTTTGAACGTTTTCGTGCGCGGAGCGAGAAAGGCTTCCACAGATGACGTGGAGTAGCCACGGAGGAACACCGCTCGGGTATGGCCAGTTCTATGTCATGGGGACGGATGAACAGATCTCGGGACGGTGCTCCAAGGGGCACGAAGCTTCTCCGTGGCCCGAGGTTGAAAGCAGCGCGAATAAATGTGGTGGTTGATCGTGAGAGATGGCAGTTCTCGTTTTTGTGGCACCTGTTCCAGCCGGTGGACATTCGACGTTCTCACGTCACTCCGCTCGTTGTTGTTAGCGTCGCTCATCTGCCCTCAGCTGTTGCTGGAGGGCAACTGCCCCCCAACTGCCCAGTAGTGTCCTTCACGAGCCTCCTCCACAATAGGCTGATCTTAACTCCGATGGTACTAGTCATGGGCAAGTGCGCTCAGTTCCACATCCTCCAGGTGTTACAATGGGCGTCATGCCCATTGTGCACGCGCACCATGCGTCGCTTATTCAAACATGCTTCCCTGTTCACGCAAATGCGACCAACCGCCAGCGCGTTTCAACATTCCGAGGCCTTAAGCACAGTGAGTTTGCGCTCTTAGTCAGCGCTACGCTTGGCACCCACATCTCCCCCCCCCCACCCGGTCCGTCCCACGTGTGGCGCCAGCATTCGTTGGGGTCCGGCGCAACGCCACCTCCGCCGTTAGTGACAAGGTCCCACAAAGCCAGCGCTCATCCGTGGACAGCAGCCCTCTGTGTTTGCATGTCCAAGAATCTTTCCCACTCAGACTGCAAGCCAGGGTTTTTCATAGAGAGCTGTGTTACTCTGAGAAGTTAATAATAGGTATTTTTTCCAGCCTGCCTTCTTACGTACATGGCTATATACATTTCACAAAGTAATTAAAAGAAAGACACATATTTCACTCATATTGCAGTGTGGCAGTCAAGCAGTGATTAGCAGCACACTGCACGATGGATCTAGTAAGAAGAGTTCGATCCCTGGCCACGTCAAACATCGGCAGAGACCTCACACCGACCCACAATGCCCAGCGATGTCAGCGTACCTGCTGTGCAGTTGCGACGTCTCTATTGAGATACACACGGAACGCACAAAAACGGCCACACACACACAAATGCATTTTCCCTGTATAAAACGATAGTGGGTTGCACCATTGCTGTGCTGCTATCTTTTGGAGCTCTATGCAGAGGAAATCTTCACTATCCACTAGAGGGCAATAGAGAGCAATAAAGGCCACCATGGGGTAATCTTTTGTATGTACAGTAGATGATAATTGGTTTGTAACCCTTTCATCTGGCAACAAAACTGACACCTTTTTTACGAGGAGTCATGTTTGCATAGACCACAATACCTGCAGTCATAATGCAAACAAAAAACACAACTCTGATAATGTATGCACTGTCCTTGAAGTTGATTGGTCCTAAAAAAGTTGTCAGTTTTGTGGCCAGATAAAAGGTTAAAAAACCAATTATCATATTTTTTACTGGCAAATGAGGTACCAATGGTGTACAGTAGATGTTAACTACCTCGCCTGGTTTGCAGGAGCTCGTGGGTTCGATCCCGACCATGACGGCTGTATATTTGGAGTGTGCATGTGCTCCCCGTAGTCACATTTATAATCAACGTCCATTCAGAGTATTTGGCTGCTAAAGATTTCCACATGATGACAAGCGACATTGTTGAGCTATCAATTGTGGCCAGGTCACATCTGAAAAGAACTATATAGCTCAGTGAGCCTTACCTGGTAAAATAAATAAAATAGTTTAGTACGTTGAACTTCTTTCGCACTGTACATAGCCAAGCACTTAACAAGTTGTCAAAATGACACACACCTTACACACACACATTTAGTCAATCCACGACTGGATAAATACCTCCCCACGCTGCATTGGTCATCGGGGGTTGTTTGATCATACTCAACATTGGTTCAGATATTACTCGGCACCGATGATAGCCTGGTCCAGAAGTAGAACTCGGGATAAATAAACACCTGAAAAGGGGACCCCCCCCTTTGATGTGCAGCACCACTCCCAGCCATTAATAAGCAACATTGATCGTTGAGTTTGATTTGAATAAAAATAGCATCGAATTTAGATTGAATTGACGGGTTTGCCAGCTTGTTTCGACACATGACCTCAACCACGGAACAAGTACAGGAGCAATCATTCCGCTAATGTGCACAAAAATAAGGTTTTGTACAGCTTTGTAAAAAAAAAACTAAAAGTATTTTTAACCGATGCCAGGGGACAGCAGTCATCCATAAACACCCACCTCCCTTAAGAGAAAAACTTTGCCCAGTAAGCATCCAACCCAGGCTGCACAAGCATGTTTGAGTGATTGTAATTGTAAGGCTCCCATATCAAGGTACGTTATTAAAACATATTTAAAACTTTTTACATCTTCTGCCCGAGTTTCACGTTACCCATTCTTGAGCGTCCCTGCTTGGGCTGTTTGGAAGATTCCATTGTAAGGAGTGTTTGACATGTGGGAGTACTCTGGAGACAGCCCATTCATAGCAGGGGGTGACGCTCAAAGCTTCACACAGATAGATTGAACAATCCAAATAAAGGTTATGTTTTTGCTTAGGTCGCGTAAATTTAAATGTGCCATCAACCTGCCACCACCCGACACAGCCAATTAGTAAGCTGTCACGTAAACGAAGTGTCCCAATTAGTTCCATCAGCACACTGGTGTGTTGGAGAGTAAACCCACAACATTTACAATTCGAGTACAACGTTTCGCTGGCGATTACAACCAGCTTCACCAGGCGATTTGCAAGATTTGTGAAGAAGTCTTCCTGTTTCGGCCTTATTTATCTAACCCCAAAAAACCCCGTTGATGATGGACAACATTGGTCGCGAAAGCCTACGTATGAAACAGATTCAACAAGACATACTTCCCTGTTGCCATCTCATGGCTGACTGGCAGCGCGCTAGAGAAACGGTTTAATTACGGGAATCAAACCCCAAGGATGCCAAGGGTGCTGGCTTGGTGCTCTAGCCACGGTGCCACCTCCACTGCACACCCATTATTTTATCAAGCAAGCCGGGAACGTTATCAGAAAACCATTGCACAGTCATAAAAAGTGAATTTGCAAGCGTTGCTCAAATACAAGGCCGACTTCCTTTGGGTTGATAAAGTAATGTCGAGTAACCCCGATGACCTGTACGGTGTGGGGGAGGGCCTGGTTATGCCAGGCTTGATCCAGCAGTGGACTGGCAATATCAATGTACACACAAACACGAAATATCTGCCAACATCACCATCATCGTCGTCGTCAACCTTCTACTCCGATTAGCACGGTTGGCTACATACGGCGCGAAAAAAGTTCAACATAGATACATAAAAGATCCCTGTACGCGATTCCGCTCACGTCTCGGGAAATGAGTAGAACGACAGAGACACGTGTGTGTAAGGGGAACGCAGAGGGCTGCTGAAGCCGTGAGGTTTTGCTGAACGTGCAAGTGCTTACCGCCGACAGAGCAGCTGGCCCCAGTGCCATAACCGACTGAGAGGAAACCGTTGTAATTGTGGGCATTTGCCAAGTGCCGAATGAACGGATGTTTGTAACCGGCGAAACCTCCGCATTTACTTGTCGATTTCGAAATGAACCGCGTACACATCTTGCGAGTTGTCTGCCGACTTTCTGATGGTCGCTTAATGTTGCACTGCACGACTCTTTAGCACTTCCGAGAAACGTTATCACAGATCCTGTACATGGTCCCTCTCATTTGCCTACATTTTCCGTCGCAATATTTTCGTTTGTTTCTGCACGTATCCACACGCACTTGTGAAAAATACTTTACGGATACGTTCCATACTTGCTCTCGAAAGCAGCCCAGCATTGCGTCTGCGTGTTGTGTGTGTGCGTGTGTTGTGGGGAGCGGTAGTGTAGCTGCGCTACGAACCCAGCGACTCGAGTTTGATTCCTGCTAACGGCCAACAACAGTGACGATTATCTGAACCGACCCTGGGCCTCCCCTAGGTCGACTAAGCCTCAAATGAGGACCTGGTGAGGTGTGTAAAATCGCTGCAGAGACAAAGGCGTTCAGGCAGTGGTGCTGGCCACCCACCCCCTCGTGCACCATGCCGGCCTTCATAGGTGCTCGCTAACAGCACTTGCCCCAATAGTCTGTTAGGGCTATATGGTGGGGGGGATCTTTGTGTATTGTATGCATGTGTGTTGAACTGTGGTGAATGTTTAACCCTTCCGTTGGCAGCCCTTTGAAATTCTTCGATTGCCATATGGCATTGTGCGTCAATG